CCGGCGGCTCGTGTCCGGTATACAGTGCAACAAGAGTCGGTCTCTTTTTCCGCCATGTTTGACGTGTGTGTGAAGTGTTCTCTCTGGTTCGGCAAACGTCGTGTAGATAAAGTCAGCGTCGTTCCTTCGAAGCACCAGGGTTTCAGAGGATGATGTAACACAAACCAAAACGAGTTTGTAACAAGCGACAGGTTTTTTTACACGTGAAAAAACTTTGCGCACATTCCAGGCATCGCTGGATAACTTCCTTTCTCGCAACTAGCTTTCATCCTTTCTCTTACAAGCATCTGAGTGAAACGGAATCAACAACCTTTCAGTTAAGGTTTTTCCCGCTTCTGGGAACGACTTTCGGCCCAGCCACGTGGGAACATGTTAGGGAGTTGAACCTAGTGATGTAAAGCAGGGATCGTACCACATTTCTCGGATGAGCAAGTTAACTAGCGGTTACAGTGACATTTTCCCAGCGCCAAAATGGTCTATTTGACAGTCATCCTCAAAACAGAGGCTTCCTACCAACGGTAGCTGGCTAGGTGGAACTGCAACCAATCATCCATACTATCACTTGATATTTTTCTGAGAAATCTTCTGATTAGGGCAGGAATCGTCAGATGTGCAATTATGCCCATGGAAATTGTATTAGCAAACAAGTGTTGCTCTCTAAATAATCGCTGCAGGAGCGTCACTTGCGAAGAGAGCAGCACTTATTCGCCTGACATTGGCTAGATTGTTTATCACACCATTTCTATGGTGTTCACGCGACAATTGCTAGGATTTTTACGCGACAATCGCTAGGTTTTTTACCTGACAATGGCTAGGTTTTTCACCTCACAATTGCTAGGTTGTTCAGCTGACAATCGCTACGGTTTTCACCAGATGATGTTTGGTGTTTTTGGCTGACAATCGATAAGTTTTTCACACGACACTTTCTGGGCACTCACCCTAAAACCGCTAGGTTGTTCACCTGACAATTGCTAGGTTGTTCACCTGACAATTGCTAGGTTGTTCACCTGACAATTGCTAGGTTGTTCACCTGACAAGTGCTAGTTTTTTTTGTTTTTTTTTTTTCACCTGACAATTGCAAGGTTTTTCGCCTTACAACTGCTAGGTGGGCAACAGTTGTTCACCCAACGATTGCTAGGTGAGCGAGAATTGCTGGACGAGCCAAATATCATTCGACAGAACCCGCGTACTATGTGTATGTGGCACGGTCCCCACAAACATATATGGGGGAGCCTGAGTTGTTCCTGGACGCTGAGCCGTTCCTGAAAGGGGAATAAACCTGGAAGCGGCGGTTACAAAATATGACAAAAAAGTACGTTGTCGCATATGCATAGCGGTACGCCTATCGCTTGTGTGTGTATCCGTGTCCGTGGTTGGTAGCGGCCTCAACCAACCAACAATGAGGGCGCGGCTACGGGAGAAAACAAAAATTATTTGCTACTCATTGAGCTCTGCTTTGACAGAAGACAGGAAAACGAACCGTGGAGCGCAAACAGACCGACAGTACAACTGAGGGCGGAGTAGCGTTATGTACAAGTTCGCGCGGCGCACGCACAACCGATGAAATATTGCATCGGTGTTTTTGTTATTTATATTTTTCCGTTTCTACGCCCCTCCCCGCAGACGCCACTTTGTTTTGAAGCTTGCACAAGGCTAAGGGGTGCTGATTAGATTCGATATTGAGAGGAAGTGTGTGGCGAATTGACCGCGTTCCGGGTCTTCCCGCGGCCGCGAGCGTCGAAAAATCGAGTCTGTTTATGCCAACTGTTTATAAATATATTATATGCGTATATATATATATATATATATATGGGCCAATTTGTATATTGGTGACGTAAGCTGGAGGGTATGGAGCCTTTGCTTTGTTGCTTTCGACATTTTCTTTAAGGACGCGAATGGTGCCGATGCTTCTCGGCTGGGACTAGCAACATTTGAGTCGTCGGGAAGTGGAAACAACGGGTGAAGAGAGACAATAGACGTTCGCAAGGACGACCCCCTGGGCGCCGCCAGCTTGTTGCTGGTGTGTTCTAGATTGCCTAATAGTAAAGCCTTCCTAAGGCGTGTGCCCACAGTTGCCAGTCTTGGCGTCCAGATAGGGATATCTTTTCTCATTCACGGTAGCCAGACTGTCTTTTGAACCATGGCTGCTTGCAAACGTCTATATGATAATTTATTCTGATTGCTATGACGGAACACCGTGCTGTTCTGTTGTCTCCCGAACGTCGGTAGGTTTTAGTCTCGTGGCCGCGCCAATGATCGAAGGGGCTGTTCTTTGACTCCTACAGTCACCGACAGAGTAAGAACGACATTAAGGAGTTTCAGTCGTCCCGCGTCCAGCGCGAGCTTCCTGCCTTCGATAGTGCTTCGGCGTCTCGTGAGCGTCGAGCGTGCACGCGCAGTCAAAGCACGGCCGACGGCACCGAGCACGTGCTCAACGCTGACCGCCCGAAAGAGACTCCCTGCCGTTCTTACTCTGCCGGTGATTATAGCGCTTAATGGCTGAGGGGCGATGTATAAACTCTACATTGGTGCAACGTATGGGCAACTTAAACATTCGGAGGGGGGGGGGGGGGGTGATAACACTCTGGAGCGTTAACCCTTGGAGTTATAAAAAGAGTTTGACCGGTTGTTGTTCTCAACTATTCATCTGCAGTTCTTTACCAAACCTGTCACGGCCTATTTTGAAAACGAGATTGGGAAAGGGAGGTGGGGGTAGGGGGAGAGAGGCGCTCGCGCCAACGGGACGACGAGATAAACCAGAAAGATAGAGATAGAGAGAGAGTGTGTGTGAGAGAGCGAGATAGTTTTTTTTTCTTCTTCTTTGAAACCAGGGAACACTCGTTGCATGTTTGAAAGCTGATGCAGTTCAATGAAAAGCAGGTATTAACCCATAAAGGCACATAGGAAATAAAATCTGTTTGTGAAGGGCTCCAGAAAAAGCCTCTCCCGGCAGATATACACACCTGTTATGTACACACGCTTCCGCAACGCACGCGCGCCTCGCCGCACGCGCACGCGCGAGCGCATGCACTTGTTCGAGCAAAAGCGCACGAGCGCGCGCGCGCGCGGCTGCAAGTGGGGGGTTCTGGGGGCGCGCGTGCCCGGTTTTGTTTCTCAGCAACCGTCGGCTTAATATACTATATTATGTAGATATTTAACGCGAGAAGCAAACTCTGTTGTGCTGAGCACTGTATGCATTTTTTGTCTTCTTCATCCGACCCTCCTCCCCCTTTCATGCAACTTTTTTTTAGACTCTCCCGTATGACCCCTCCCCATTGGGGGAAGCACACGCGAGTGCTAACTTGTAACCTTTCTTTTTCTTCACCACGGCCGTGTGTGTGTATGTTTGTTGTGTGTGTGTGTGCGCGTCCTCGAAAAAACAAACAACATAAAATCACGAGGTCCATACGCCGTCTTGCGGTGCCCGCGGGGCAGTTCATACGGAGGGCAGAGACGATTCCCGTCGGAATGCATTGCGAAGTGCACAATTGGAAGAGAAAAAGGTAAGACTCGCGGCGGCAGCAGAACATGCGTCTTTTGTTTGTTTGTTTGTTTGAGTCTGTCTCACCGACACTTCTGGGGAAAACTCGAGCTCTCACCTGAGAGACGAGCTCTTGAAACGTTTACCCCTTTCGCAGAGATATCACACGCATGCGCGGTACATGTGTGGCATGTGTGTGTGTGTGTGTGTGTGCGTTTTTTTTTCTGGTTTTCTTTTTTGCAGGTGCAGCTTGCTCGCTAAGTTAAGTCGCTCACCTCTAAGCTGAGGTCGTGACCGTGTACTAGAGTTTTGTTTTTTTACATATATATATATGTATATATATATATCCCCATTTTTTTTTTCGTCTTAAATTCAAAATTGCGGCAAGCCTTTCCCCCTGCATTGCAGATGTGGCAGTTCAAAAGCTACGGTGGTGCTTTTTTCTGTATCTCTCGGACGTATGGCCGGATGCAGTAGTAGAACAACAACAAACGCACGACCTCGTTTGCGGTAGTGCGCCAAGATAGAGAGAGAGAGAGCTAAACGCGAGAGGGGCTGGGGAGGAGGGGGCTCTGTGTGTTGTCGGAGAGGAAATATGGGGGGGAAGAAGGAGTTGGTGGGATTAATTGCAATTGGGTAAATTCAATTGTAAAGTTGAGTCCCTTGGGTAGAGTACGCTAGAACCGCCTGTACCTCTGCAGCTTCCGTTGACGACAGCCCCCACATTTCGGACGCCACTACACTGCGTGTCGACCTTCGGACGTAGCCCTCGGAGGATCGAGGTGTCGGATCGAGATGGAGGCGTTTCGTGTGCGACAGTTTTCCCCCTCCCCCTGCCCGTTCGTATTTTGGACCTAGGTAAAGCGAGAAGGTGGATGATGGGGGGAAAGGAGGGGATCCGAAACCGCGACAGCCCCGCTCCTCGCACCCCCGACGCAGGTCCGCGCCCTTCGGACAGACATGGGCTCGACCCTCTACGGAAAGCGGTAGTATAGTTAGTACTTTGTGCGGACGACGCGGCAACAGCAACGGGTGGGCAACCGCGGATCGCCCCATACGAATGGAGCGCAAAAGTGCGTCGACGAAGCGAGCGACTACGGGCGGAACCTCTTTCTGTGGCGTCGGGGGTAGGCGTTGGAGCAATACCACATCGCACACAAGGCCTGCGCCTTTCTCCTTCTGACGTTATCACTAGTGGCTCCACGTAGGCCGCCTAGCTTGCGTCAGCGTCTCACAACGAACGCGACGCTAGCACGCGACTACGCCAAAACGAACTGGTCCTTGCGTTGACTCTCGTCGAGCGCGTTTGCCGCTCGACGGGGGTTGCGCAGGCCTTGTCTTCAAGGTGACGTCAGTTGGAGCGGGCCCGCGGTCGCGGTCGGGATCCCCTGCCCGGGCCCCGAAGCGTCAGCGCCGGGAGGGAGGGGGGAAGGGGAGGAGGGGGGGACGAGGCGTCGCCTGCGGGGGACAAGCGCACGGAAGCGATGTGTAAGCGGCAGAGGCAGGGGTCCTACTCCTGTCACACGTCTGTGGAGCGGCTGGCGACGCTCGGCGAACGCGAGTGCAGCACCACTCGATGCCCGTTCCTAGTCACGTGACCGTCACTCTCGACAACGATGGCGGTCGTCTGTTGCTGGGCGGGACCACGGGGGTCATCGTCACCCACGTCGCCGCCGCCCTTGTAGCGTCGCCAGGCACGTTGAATGACACGGGCACAGTACTCTTCGCGCTGGCGCCACAGCGTCGAACTGACAGGCTCGTAGTCTGGCCTGTCTAGGTGGATGACCGTCTCGGTGATCTCGACGGGCTCCTCGATGGCATGGCCCTTTCGGGCAAAGAAGTCTCTGGTGAGCGCGTCTAAGATGTCCACGCAGTACACCATGTCCCCCTTGCAAATGGGGATGTCCAGGGCGATGAGCTTGTACTTGTTGGGCTTGGGGATCTGGAGGGGCTCTTCCAGGGCGTTGACGAAGTTGGTCAGGTTGGAGTACGTGACGTACTGGGTGCCCTTGGGGTCGAACTGCTGCCAGATCTCGTAGTACATGTCGTAATCGTCGTCCGTGAGTCCCTCTTGAACGTCTTCGGTGGCCTGACTGTAATTCTCGAGGATGACGGCGATGTACATGTTGATGATGACGAGGAAGCTGATGATGAGGTAGGAGACGAGGTAAGCCACGGCTATGCCCCGTTTTCCGCAGTTACCCTCGTTGTCGTCGGTGGGGCGATTGCAATCCCTCTCGTCCATGATGGCAGCTAAGACGCCGTCCCAGCCTGCGGACGTGCACATCTGGAACAGCAGGATCATGGATTGGCCGAACGTCTCAAAGTTGAAGTTCTCGTCGACGCCGTAGCGGTGCTTGACGTGCATGAAGAAGGACATGCCGAAGATGGCGTAGATGAACATCACCAGGAACAGCAACAGGCAGATGTTGAAGAGCGCGGGCAGCGACATGGCGAGGGCAAATAGGAGCGTTCGGATGCCCCGTGCCCCCTTGACCAGCCGCAGCACGCGGCCCACCTTGACGACGCGCACCACACGCAGCAGCGTGGGTGACACGAAGTACGTTGCTATCAGGTCCTTGAGCACCGTGCCTGCAAGAGCGTACAAGCAGAAGCATTGCAGGGTGCAAAAAAACAAATCCGAGTTTAGTCCATTAACAGCTGTCTGAAGAACCCAAGCTTAGTTCTAATTGTAAGACTTGAGACTTGGGTAGAAAAGAAAAACACAATTACGAAGGAACAGGAAAAGGAGAAAAACCACATCTGAATTGTTTCTTTATCCCAGTTTCAGGTATCATCTTCATGATAAATTTATGCCACCTTTCATGAATTTTGACTATTTAAGGTAAACTTGGTATGTTTAAATATTTTTTTTTTATATTATGAACACTGGCCAAAATTGTCCAGCTCCTGCAGTTGTGCAGTTCTGGACTTGCGGCAGCAAAAATGTGTAGTCCATCTATACTTATTTTTTTTTACCTACGTTTTTTAGACTATTGTAAATCTGTGCGTAGCCTGTCGCTGGGGATTTAACCGGACGGAGGTTAGGTGGACATGGCACACAGCGAAGAACCTGATAATTGTCAGGCAGAACAGATTGGTCCACGCTTTATCATAGGATTGCTACCATGAAGTAACTAGGAAAGTTTAGTTGCGGAACCCTTTATACTTAACCACCCAAGCATCTATATATAACTTACGGTAAAAGTTTTGGGGGAAACAAAGTTGCACCGTCAGCACTTACTACCTTGTGTTAAGTGTTATATCTGTGGCATGGAAATTTAACTGTAGGCATCTTGTTATATGATTTTGTTTCATCAAAAAGATGACAGTAAAAGAGACTTGTTTTGGCTCGGCAAGTGACTTGACCAGGTACCTTACTGTCACGTGTTGTTAGAAGTTCTACTATATTACAAAACGGATACCAATGTTTGTAATGTTCAGGTAATTATGTGAAAAGTTGTTTCGTTTCACATCCAAAATGTGTGCACCAGAAAGCAATTACGTAAAGACTATCGTCAGTATCTGGGGTGTAAAATGACATAAGATCAATGGTAAAACAAATTCATCTTCGGAAGGAGCGCGTAGATAACGAAGCAACGTTCGCGGTTTGTGTATGAGTTGTTTGTTATGCTTGAGGAACAACTGATTTCCCGAGCACAAATGCACCACTAGGAACATCGTCTTCTCATCGGTCGTAGATTAGTAAGGTATAAATCTAGCACCAAATCCTTAAAACCTGCCTTTATGATCCTCTTATCAAACAAGAGTCGGTGTGCAAGTTCTTGCGAAATATGGTGAAACATAGCAGTAGAAGTATGCACAGTCTAGATGTGTTACCTGTAGGAATGCGTGTATGTACAAATATAGATTCCAATAGTTAGATTCGGCTTTAACATTTCACCTAGTTCAGACCAAATTGAGAGGCATACATTCATGTAGTGTCAACATTACGCTAATAACCACAACTTCAACTTGAATTGAACGCACTTCCGCTCAATTGCCTGACCTAATTTATTCATATTGTGCGAATTGACTGAATCTGTTGTAGCTCACCAAATGGGGACCTACCATACCACGTCACCAATAAGGCTGTAGTTTCGATGCACGACAACTTGGACCATGCATGTGATCTATTTTGCTATAATCGGTTACTATTAATATTTCTAACATTATTATTAGAGTTTCTGATTGTAATTTAAAAAAAATGCAAACCCTGAACGTATTTGTGTTTAGACAGACTTGAAATGAAATGTAAATGAGCATCTATTTAAAGGAAATTCAAAAAAAGAGTTCGTGGTAGTGATGTGGACATTTCCTAGTTTCACGCTGCAATTACCGAAATCGGGAGTTAAGGGAATGTTATCTTTTTTTTTTTTTTGTTATTGCAAAAATTGGCGCGGGCATTTACTTAAGCTTTACGAACATGAGGTGTGTATTCTAAGTACTAGATAAAAAAAAAAGAATCAGTGAGAAAAAAATTTGAGGCGTGCAGTGGCCGTCGCTTGTGGCGGTTTATCTTAGCAATTGTTACACTGACTTCAAGCTTAACAAGCGCACCATTTGGCGAGTCCCAAACCTCCTGCTTTTGCTCAGCAGCCAATGATATAGCGGCATTAACGGATAACAGCGCCGAAAGACGTAAACCGAGGCAAGAAACACGAACGTAATATGCTAGGCCATACACTTCTTAAGTTGTCGGTGACAAAGGTAAGGAGAACGGCTTACCTAGAATTGAGAGAATGACAACTACAAAGTCGAACATGTTCCATGGCTCCTTAAAGTAGTGCCAACGCAGGGCGAAAATCTTGAGGGTGCACTCGGCCGTAAACACGGCAATAAAGAATATGTTGAGCCGTTCTAGGATGGACTCGAACAGCTTCTCCTGCTTGTAGTGGTCCATTGCCATGACGGTCATGTTGAGAACGATGAAAATCATAATGGCCATGTCGAACATCTTGTTGGTGGTCAGGTCGAACACCATCGCCTGAAGTTTGAACTGCAAAGGAGCGATGTGCAAGGGGGAGAAACTTGTATTTCGCACGAAAGATATTTCTGGGGGCTTCTGCGAAATGGGGTTTAAACGAAAGGAGAAAGCGTCACGTTCAAGGTAAAGTACCACTGTCGTCAGTCTCCCTTGATAACTGATAAATATGGAGGGAAATATCTCGCCCTCCAACTTAGTGGAGCTGGTTGACTTTACGTAGAAGAATCTTGTCAAGCAAGCCGAAAACAGTGAGCATTTACTATGTAAAAAATAAATTATTGTCAGATTGTTCTTTTTGTCCATTCACTGAATATTCCTTGGTGATGTTGAGCCTTATGTATGGTAAACCGTCTGAATTTGGATTTTTTATTTTACGAGTTTAAGCAAATTTTTAAGATCTTTATATAATATTATATTCACATAACGTATACATGCCACATTACGTGGTTTATACGTTATATGTAAATCATAGGCTTTAAACTTATGATGCGTATTATGCAACATATGATTTAGACAGACTAATGGATCTACGCTTAGAGTGCCAGCACTCAATTCATCGATTTTCTTGCGGGCGACGCGTGCATTTGGTGCTCAGCGCTGGGCAGGTCCAAATGTCGAGCGGCACTATTCGGAAATGCGACTTTCTTAGATTTAGTTAGGGTATTAAAAAGTAGAGAATCTCGATTTTTTTTCGCGAACTTTTTAAGGACTTCTAAAATACAGCAAACCGTTTTCTCCGAATTTAAATAAAGTTTCAGGGAACTTGGCAAATGATTTTAAGAACCAAGATGACTTCATCGGCGTTACTCGAAAGCGTAGCACATTTAGCCGACCTAATACGCTCACAAAGCGTAACTTTAGAAGAGTTAGAATTTTTATCAAATTCCTATACCTCATAAAAAAAAGCACAAAAAAGCAATGCAATATATTATATTGACACTCACAGTTCAAGTACGCGGAAGCAACGTTTCACATTTCTAAACACGAATCGAGCGAGCCGTCTTTGCCAACTTACTCGTGGCCTTGGGATGGCCTTGGCCGGCTTTTTAGAGCCCATTTTCTTCATGGCGTTGTAGTACTTTTTCTGATCTTCCGTCATGAACATTTCTAGAGATCCTCCGGCCTATGGTAACAAGAAGAAGTAAAACAATGAAAGACGTTTACATTTTTCCGTAATGCCGGATTAGAGCGCAGCTCTTCAGGAGGAGGAGGAGAGGGTATGCCCCTGATCCTCCTCCGTACCCTCCCCTTTTCCTTTCCTGCTCCCCTCCCATATAGTGAAAAAGTTTCGCTAAATTTCCCGCAAAATTGAGCGATAATTTTCCCACTAAACTTAGGGGGGAATATGCGGGATAAATTTAGTGGGAAATATACCAAAATTTTCTCGCTACATTTAGCTGGAAATTTAGCGAAAAATTTCCCCGCTAAAGTGAGAGGAAAATTTTCCCGCCAAATTTCGTCAAAATGTTTTCGCCAGATTTAGCGGAAAAATTTTACCCTCGTGACGTCACGCGTGACGTCGTTACGGAAAACGTCTCATAATGCAACACGCGGTTATGCCGACGCCGACGCCGCTCAACCCAGAAACGGGCGCCTAAGAGCTGCGCTCTAAGAAAACGAGTTTGTTTTCGGTTATCGGTTACACTTTCCACTCTAGGAAATCCGGGGCGACTATTCTTCCACAAAGCACTCGGGAAATCCAATCGCAGCAGTGTGCGGAAGGAGTGCAGTGAACGACAAAGCTGAGAGTATGTTTAAAGTTCAAGGACAGTCTACACGCTGTTACACTAAGCGCGGTGATGCTCAGTCCAACAGCTCAGTCAGTTCTTTTGGGTTTAATGACAGACGTTCAGCCCGGTCGTTTACCGAGATCCCTCCGTAAATTGCGGCGATATGACTCTACCAACTGCTTGGTGGGAAAGTGGACACTCGAGATTTCTCAGAGTGCAATGGCTCCAGGCCCCGCTCGACGAGAAGCTCACCTTCTTTTTTTGTTCGTTGAAATTGTCGATAATCACACCGATGAATAGATTTAGTGTAAAGAAGGAGCCGAAGATGATAAAGAACACGAAGTAGAGGTACATGTAGATGTTTGCTTCGTATTCCGGCTGGTCCTCTTTCTGCAAAGACAAAAGCAAAAAAAATATTGGTTGTATGAATGTACAAGGTGGGTCCGATGGCGCGTTCGCCTTTTGAAGGAATCGTATAAATCAATTTATTAACGCTACTGAGCTACAACTTAGTACTACAGAGGTGCCCGAAGGTGATGACTTTTTTAGTTTCAAGTATGAAAATATTATCTTACCTCAGTCAAAAAGCAAATTTTTTCCTACAAAAATGTTTGAGCTAACTTTTTAAATTTTGCAAAATCACCAAGCAATATTGTGGGTCATTGTGGTTTTCAGTGGTACAAAAAGGTGGTGGAAATAAACTAGAATAAAATTGGCTCATAATTTACCTATTTTGTGTTGCTGAAACAAACTCCATAGTGGCCCACCATGTCATTTGAAGGTGGCAGGCTGCTTTGTCACATAAAAAATATGTTCCTTCTTGTTGATTTTTACTGAGGCGAACTTATTTATCGGTATTAGACTGAAACAATACATTATCGTTTTACACCTCTGTGCTCAATGTGTTATAGCATTGAAGTTTGCATCTCAGATGTCCAGTTGTCCAGGGTAACGACGCCACACACTAATCAATACCACGAAGGGTGGAAATCAGCATATCCCAAGGATATGCTGACGAGGACTTGGAAACATCCTAGGGATATATTTGCGAGTGGAAGGTTTACGAGCGACATGCGCCAGTTACAATTGTTATATGTACATGAACTAGAAATTCAGACGCTGTGAAGGACGCACGACACAAGAATCACCACCCTGTTGAATGCTTCACTGCCTTATGTACTCGACAACTGAAGGATACCCATTCGCAGGTGAGCGCCTCCACCATTAGAAAGGTCATAAGTATGTTGCTTTGTTCTCCGTCAGTACTTCACATTAAAAGTAGTGCCCTGAAGCGTAAGGAGATTTATTTGATAATCAAAATTATTTCTATAGGCAATAATTATTCGATCTACTCGCCTCGCCAAAACAACTTCAATTAAAGCTGTCTGAAGCGGATGTAAAGCTTCTTCACTGCATTGCAACGCAGCAGCACTTTTGCTACGTACTTTTTACACCCATCAAAATGAAAGGTGCTTCATCATACAGCTCCCTATTTTAGGATTGCACGTTCGTATTACATAGAGTAAGGGTCCTGAAATAAAGTATTTACGGGTACAGGTTCTTCGAACACCCTTTTAACAGCCTTAATGCTGTAAAAATATTGAATATGTACGTGTGATGTTCACTAGCTGGTATGACTGAGTACATTGTGCTCAGTGCGTATTGATGACAGACTTTCACAACGTTATCACTTCGTGCATTTTACGTAATCAAGGGTATAGTTCTTAGCAGACAAGTAGAAGCTTGTTGTGAGCATGCGCTATGAACGGTGCGCAGAAATATGGCGTTCAGTAAATAACACCTATATATTACGTGAGTGCGCAGCAGTGATTTCCGAAACCCTCCATTTTTTTCCGTCTGAATGTACGGAATCAAGTGCAGGAGACAACGGCTACGAGGTTGGTAATATAAATGGTCTTCGGTTTTCGTCCCTAACCTTAAGGCTCATAAATGCGCCAAGAATTTTTTTTTTTCGGATTGGCTTAAGCGATGCGGAGCAAAAAGCAATGGAAAACATGACTGATGATATGGCACTTATAATCATTGCATTTCTGATATTATGGTAGGTATTACTTCAGATATGATAGGTGAGTAGACATTCGTTATGATTGATAAGGCTGCCTTTTCTGGAATATTACCCTATACGAAAATCTTAAGCAATTAAAGAAACACCTCTTATATTTATACCGCTCCACTTATCTAGATTTTTTGCACCACCGCTAATTAATTATTGACGGCATATTTCACCAATTTCATGAGGTGAACTTTTGATCAAGAAAGCAGCAATGGATAAACGTCTATGTTACCTTAGTAAAATAAACGCTAGCCATCAAAAGCACATCACTGTCGTTACAAGGTATCCGTGAACATTTCAAATGTGCGAATGAATCGGACGAGTAAAACAAGGACAGTGGCAGAAACGGTAAATAAAATTTTAAAGAAATCTATCGGGTATTTAAAACAAAATCTAGAGAATATCTAAAAAAATCTAGAAAGTATCTAGTGATATTCATGTAGGGAATCAACATCCCCAAAAACATTGAGAAAAGAGACTGCATACCCCTCCTCTTGAGTCAATGGCGTTGTCCATGATGTCAGTCCAGCCTTTGAACGTTGCCTGAAAGAAGGAATTGTCCATCCAATCAGTGTCAATCAATAATTTGTACTGCATGTTTTGCAAAAAAAAAAAAAAAATAGCGCGTGTAAGACCGTTTTTTACTTTTTTTTTCGTACGTTGCATATCTCTGTTCGAAATCGTTATCTTTGGTCGATGTATGGTGCCTGGAGCGCGTCTTCAACTAGAGCGTCTACGGCGTCCACAAAAGTGGTCCTTCGATTTCCACTTGATGACATTCTAAAAGCCTCATTCTGATGCCAGCCAAACACCTGGCGGTGGTGCAGCAACAGAGTTAGGTGCGGCTTACACCTGTACTGCTGTAGATCCCTCTGCATCCAGACGGTCGATGAAAACCAAAACAGACACGAGAAAGGAGGACGCGACAAGAGCGACCCTGGCGTCCGCTCGTCTTATTTACGTCAGAACTTCTACGACCAATCGCCGATGTCAACGACACCTCGCGGCGTCATAGACCTGCTCCAGTGACGCAATTTTGTCGCAACTTCGGGACCACTTCTGATGCACGGGTGCGGGACGGGACGGCAAAGACGCCGATCGGGGGTCGCGTTCCAGGAACCGCGGTCGAGGGCAACCTACCACTTGGAAGAGGGCGAGGTAAGCGTTGAGTACGTTGTCGAAGTTGATCATGGGGTTGTCCCAGGTGAAGTTGTTGGTCTCGCACGAGTGGCGGTTGGGCACGAAGGAGCTGTTGAGTCGCGTGCCGTTGCCGTCGACGCAGCGGTAGAACTTTCCCGCAAGCATCTGGACCCCCATGATGGAGAAGATGAGCCAGAAGATGAGGCACACCAGCAGCACGTTGAAGATGGCCGGGATGGCTTGGACGAGGGCGTTGACTACAACCTGTGGGTCGTCGCCGGACCACACAGGGAGGAACGTCCGGAGAGGGACGGGGGAAAGGGAAAACGACGGTCGAGTTAGTGGATGAGTTTGGGTCACATGCCGAGCTTGCACGTTCGTTTAGTGACGATGGGGATGAAGATGTTTTATTTAGTAGAGTTACTGGCAGCTAGGAACGGCTGAGCATGCAGCTCAGTTGCTGTTTAGGGAGGTAAGCAGAGCAAGTTTGCAGGCCAATGACTTTAATCATTGGCCCGCAACGAGCTCCCCAGGGTGTGGCCATTATGTTCGGGGTTCATGATTACTTCTTCTGCATTGTTATTGGTTAATGCCGCAAATTAATTGGCTTAAAGGTTTGCGCAAAGTTGTTGAGTGATTTGATTCACTACTTTAATTAGTCGTAAAGTGTGGCCGCTTATCGTAAAAAAAGATTCATACTAGTTTCAGATAGGGCGAGTAGAAGAAGATAAATTTAAAACAATTCAGCGAAGAATCGTATAATAAATTTAAAAAATAACCCACCGAAGAACATTCATCAAACGAACACGAATCAGCGTTTTTTGTGGGGTGTGCGCTTCACTATTTGATAATTAAGTAAGGTGGGTCTAGCGTGCGCTCATAATTGTCTTGTGAAGTGAATGGCAGAAACGCAATTGGGCTCCGCTGTGCCGTTCCTGACCTGCCAGTAACTCTAGCAATTCAAACGAGAACGTGGATTTTTTTTTGTGCCTGCAAGCAGGATGTCTTGGTGTGCGTTCAGCTGTAGATTAGTCAAACTTTAGTTCCTAGCAATAAGTAGAGAACAGACGTGAGAGTACCAAAAATTTTCAACTGAGGCTGTTAGTTAGGCCAGACACAAGATTGCATAATTCATAGACACGTACAGAACATTGTGCTTTGTAGACGTTCCTGCATATTTTATTCGTATAATTAAGCATAATTTTTTATCGTTAGTAAGAAGAAAGATTTGTTTGAATTTATTGTCGCTTCAGTCGCCGTCCTTTAATTATTATATTTAAACAAGTGCTTGATTTATACATCTTTTCCCTGACATCTGTAGAACGCCCTTTCAGCAGTAGATACTGTTATTAATTTTGTTTTAGTTTGCTTTTTGTATGTGCCACCACAATCTGATCAACTGTTTTTTTTTTGTAGGACAGAAAATAACTAAATATATTAATGATTATTATTATACCCTTAGCAGTGCATAAACAAGGCTTCGAGTTTCTATAGCCAGTATTGAGTGGAAAGATAGTATAGCTAACACTAAAGACGTACTTCTGCATATCCCGCATAGTCTCATCAATGAACTTTTAATACCTTATGTAGACACCTAACACTAGATTTTTGGTACTCAAACATCCAGCCTCTCTGAATAGGTAAAAGGGTGTCGGTTTTGTGTCATGCCATGCGACAAGAAACGAGGCCAAGGTTGAGCTTAGTTTTAAGTTTGTTTAAGAAGAATGTTGTTTTTATTAGTGGCGCTTGTTGAGTGCTTGTTAATTATTAACAAGGTTGATGCTAGTTAAGGTGAGCACGCAGCTAGAAAAAAGAAAAAAAAAGTGAAAAAATGTAAAACGAAAGTTTACTGGTTTCTACTACGTCACCATGGTTCCAATTCAAGAACTGGCTCGGTCATTCAAGAGGAAGGATGTGCTCGAAAGTGCCTCATGCTTTCAAGTGCAGAATGATTGTAAATGGTTGAAATGGTTTTGTTTTTTTAGGTGGGTTGTATCACGTGCCTGCACATCACACCTTCCACTGGAACTTGGTAGTTATAAATGGTACTTCGGTCAACAAGAACATAAATTATAAGGGCCTTTGGGGTAGAAAGGAGCAATCCCAGAGACATAGGTGCGGTAGACTTGCACAGACTATCATGCAAAACAAGTAGTATTTTGGTGTGCAGAACACAAGGGGTGCTGAACGTTTCTACTACTACTGTCGGCAAGGCAATTCAAGTCATGAAGAGGTGAAAAAGGCATGAGCATATTTAAATGAGTGAGAGTGAAGGAAAATTGTGAAAGATACGAACGAAAAACACTCGGGGCGATGAGACGATGTTAATAAATGGTGAAGATGATGTGCAATGAAACGAAGGTTTCGTGAGCTGGCACGCGGAACTAAGCACACCATAGGAAGGTGTGGACCTCAGTTTGGCTCAGATGTCTTGAATTTACTATAACTATTTTCTGTTCGTCACGGGAAAGAGCGTTGCATGGTTATCGCTGCCAGCTCCCGAATCAAATGCGATGGTATGCTGGGGGTAGGAAAGATAAAACATGAAGACACACATGCGACGACAAGACTGGAGGCACGAACAACAAAGTAAAGGTGGCTCACCTTAGGAAGACGATGAAAAACGGTAAAAGGAATATCACGCAGTTTTTGTCCCCAATGTTAAAAGAAAATGGGGGCTTACCTGGTTGGGTATCGAGCTGTGAGTCCTAGCAGGGCTTACACACTGCCACATTGACACATGCCGGCAACGGAGGCATGCGACAGAGGACCAGAGGCAAACATATCTAGCATGCAAGGTCGTCGCTGTGATTTTTTTCATGTTTTATGGATTGTTGTCTGCCAACACTCTACTGTTCAGTTTCCCGTTGTTAAAATATTCACCACTGTCAACTTTTTAGTGAATTCATCAGTTTCAAAGTATAAACCAGGCTATCGCAAAGTCCTGCAACGACCATCCCCCCTCCCCCAGAAAAAGTGGGCAGTGCGTGCAATCGTCGTGTCTTTTGCGTTGGAAGTGTCCGAGTGTGTGTGCCGAGTGATCAAATGAACGTGATGATCGCCCGGTATTTTCCACAAGGCAGTGCAAGCAACTCTAGTGGTTAAAAAAATCACAGATTGGATTGGTCCAGCGTTTTTGCCAGACGATGCAGCATAAACCACGACACAGTTAGTCCGAATACACGAAGGGCGCAAGGTCCAATTTCACCTGTACGAGTTTGTTGCCTGTACACAGCGACCTGCCACATCGGTAGTTTCAAATCTGTAGTGTTCCGTTTCAAAAATAATGTGATTAACCGGTAGTCATTCATTCGAGCTAACTATGTCGTGCGCCGTACACATTTGCAAAAGAACAAACAAACAAGATGTCACACGCAAAGAAAACATAGCCACAACCGCACAACCAAAGATTCCCTGTTAACATCAAAAGCTGCCAGACCAGTATTCAGAAAGCGAGAGGTGCAAAAGGCCTTGCAAGCAAGCACTATGTGAACAAGGCTGTGAAAAAATACTGGAGACTAGTACAGTAAGGTACTGAGGAAGCAAACATTGGAAGTCAGTATTGCCAAGATGAGGAAGTTTCTAAATGTTAGGAAAATAATTGCAACTCCTCCCAGTAAGATAGATGAGCTTCTGAACATTTTATTTTCGGCTTCTAGACATCTCATAAACATCTCCTTTACAGCAACATGGATTGTACTTATAGCGTTATATTTAGTTTGAATAGATAAACTCAGTATAGTTTAGTAATAGAGAAATAAAACTTTACAGGGAAGTGCGCTTGTCTTACAAGCTTTGCTCTACGGAAAACAACACTGACTTAGAAAAGTCGGGTGTCCTCTTGTAACTTTTGCTCTGCTACTCTTCTACATCGTATACCTCTTATGTCACACAAAGTCGTCAGGCGGAGCTAATTGAATAAACTTGAAAGGCAGCTGGAATAAAAGAGCTCGGCGAGAGGGAGGGAGAGCACTACCATGTATATAAGGGACAGATGCAACCCGAGCGCACTGCTACGAGCAACAAAGCATTCAGGTGCGGTTCTCAGGCCAGGCTAACGCCATCATGGTTGTGGCTCAAAACATTCATACGCTATAGTTATTTGTAATGATGTCCATCTTTTGTTTGGCTTAGCACTTAGTGTTTTAGCTAATACACCCTGTTTGGGCCTAGTGCTATTTTTGTTTCGAGCGTCATTCAACGCGCTTGATTTTATTATACCAACCAAAGCGTTCCTTATTTTTGCACTCCCGTTTTCTTAGTTAGCTGCTTTAATTATGCGCTCTGCTTACATAATTTTGTATTAAGGTTGTTTCTTTCACAACATTAAGCACTAAAAACAAGGGAAAAGTAATAGTGGAATCGAAAACCCTGGCGATTTCTTTTTTTTATAACTTAAACATGCTTTGACAGTGACAACACTTCTGTTCTTGCACATAACGAGTGGCGGCTCTAGGAAGCACTGCCAGGCACTACAAATCTAGGTGCTCTTCTATACAAGCGAGCCGCCCGACACCCAAACAAAACAAAAACAATTCTGGCCGGCATTTGTCAGTCTCGCACTGGGCTTTGGGACAGGGTGCTCTGCACGCGCACACCGCAAGAAAGAAATAAAAAAAGCAGGCACGCCGCATTATCGCCATCAATACTACAACCACCGTCACCGCGTCACCATCACTTTCACCATGAACGACCACCACTGCAAACGCACACAGTCACGCGCTCACTCACCCTCATCCCTTGGAACCGAGACAAAGCCCGGAGAGGCCGGAGTGCTCGCAGCGTCCGCATCGTCTTGAAGGCTTGGATGCGGCCGGCGCCGAACGCCGTCGCGACTAGATTGATCACTGATACCTGGCGAAAGGAACGTGCCCCATTCCGTCGGTGAGGGAGACCCCCTTCGATCGAACCTCCCCACCGGCACCAACTCAGACAGCACAGATGTCTTATCCACGTCCACGGGAGATCCATCGGACGTAAGGACATCTTGAAGACGTCCACACGTCCGCAGAAGCATGTGTGCTGCCGAGGGACTCCCGGGAGACACATGCCTCATTCTTTCGGTGAGGAGGAGAACCTTCGATCGAACCCCACCAGTATCAACAGAGGCAGCACAGATGTCTTATGCACGTCGACAGTAGATTTATGGGACGTTAGGACATCTTTGACGACGTCCGCAGAAGCATGTAAGCTCCCGGATATAGAGGGACAGCCATCTTACTTGTACTTACCTTCTGATTTTGAGGAGGGGGATTTAACCCTGCTAGGAGGACGTTGGGGAAGAAGGGACCGTGGAGGGTTTGTAGGCCTGCGGTTGATTTGGCTCAGGGTTTAAGGTGAGGATGAGGGCCACCAGACTGTTTTTTTTGGGGGCTTTAGTATACTGCTGGGGGAGTGCTCGGGGAAGGACAAGGGATCTGCTCGCTATATCTCTTTTGATTAAAGTGTCCCGCAAATTTGTGGATGGATCGTTGTACGCTGTTGAATGGGTGTGCTTGTTATTGCTGAGCTAGTTAGATATAAGGTTCGTTTGAGCAGTTTTGCGCTTCTAATTAGGGACACTATCTTGTCCGTTTGAATGACATTACAGGCCGCTGGTTTGTCGATGGTCTACTGGATTTCAATGTTTGCTGACAATATTTCCTGATTATTTTTTAAGCTGCTTTTTTACCTTACCGCGTAGTATAAACTCACTGAGGTACCATCTTGGGTGCTTAATGTTCTAGACGGCGGTGGCAAGTCGTCGGAAGTCTTCCCATGTTTTGGGCCTTGACTGGACACCACAAAAAGGACGGACAACGAAGACACCAGACAAGTGCATGACGGCTTGTTCTCGCAGGTACAATTCTCGTCCTTTTGGTGTGGCTCAGACTGCTTACTTCGCACTGGGAATGCCATTAGTAAGTGTTTATTGTTTTTAAGTTCAAATTAACATTAGCTGAACAATCACTAATATTGAATGCTTGCGCCTTCCTTGAAGGTCTACAACCTTTTGCTGTTCATATTTCAGGATTTAGAAAGCTGTTTCTTGTGTCTCAGTTTTCGCTGAAATACATGGAATATAGCAGTCTTCTGTTAGGGCTTTTAGGAATTTTAAAGTTTTTTAAAAAATTTGAACTCAGGGAACGTTTAAATTAAGAGCGCTTCTTCACTAACCTTGAAAAAGGATGAACGGGGTTAGCCTAGGACAAATTGCGTCTCATAATGTTGTTAACAAAAAAAATCGTTTGTTTGGGGATTATCCCTTGCCTACTAGTATGGAAGGTTGGAAGCATACATCCGTAATATAAAAGAGGAGTGGGTGCTTTATGAAGGCATTTTCCACTGCAAGTATACTTGCAGTCTTCATTAATAAGAGTTATATCTGTCCCAAGACATCCTTTTAAGTTTCTCAACTCATTGTTTTCTACAATGTCTTGTAGTAAGGGCCTCTAGACATCTGAATAAATATTTATCGAAGACGTTTGGAAATGTGTTTTCAAGACATCTGGACAAATACTTTGCAGTAATTTAATTAAATATGTAATAAATATATTTAAAAATATATATTTTTTGAACAGCCGAATAAACGCGTTCTTAACGCCTAAAGAAATACTTCTAAACTTTCAGATAAATATCTTCTGAAAATTTACAAGAATGTCTTGCTGACGTCTCAAATACAACAGGACTTCTACAGCTCATTCTAGCTGTTTCAAAACGTCTATGAGACATCACGCTCTCAGTGAGATAGTAGTTTAGTTTTGAAGACTGGTACTTTGATCTTGAGCCTTCTGTGCCACTTGGAGAACGGACGGATGCTTGCGAGATCAAGCCGCTACTGCTTCAAGCCATTCGTGGCGCATGCCTCACAACGGACAAGACGACAGCACCACAGGACTGACAATGGCAGCCATGACATATATGCGGCTCTATGGAGTGTGCTGAGCGCCGATGAAGATGGTGTGTGATTGGTATGTTGTAGAGTCACTCAGAGATTGGGCTGGAGTTCAAGATGGTCACCATACTTCTGCCCGATACAGCAGAAAGTCAACCAAGTGGCAACGAAGGAAATGGACTGTTGCATCAACCCTCCTCGAAATCACCAGGTGTCGGCATGCCATAAAGTTGTGCTAGCATAAGCTTTTGCACGCAATTAAATAAAATCAGCATTCATAAAGATTTTGTCCCGAAAAACCTGGGTAGCTTGAAATGGTGGATTACCATCTAATCCCCCTTTTTAATTAAAGTGGCAAACGATGTTGAAAGTAGTGGTGACTAGGGTTTGGCATATTTTCTGTTTGGGTATATATAATGACCCTGAGAATGCATTTTCTGACGTTTTTGTACCATTGAATATAGGGGTTTTATTCTGGGTTGTAATGGTTTTTTTGATGGAGCTCAGAAGTCAATTTTTAATGCTGTTTGTCTGAGCTGCATGGCCAACAGTTAAGTTTCTTGCAGCAGTTATCTACAGTTAACGCATCAAATTTTAACGAATTCAAAGCATTTGTATACTGTACGAGTAGCATATCCGTCAGCTGTCATAAAAAAAAAAAAAAAACTTAAGTGATGCTATCGATCTCTGCTGCTTTCTTGGGTGTCTCAATACTCCAGTCAAAATAGACAAGATTGAAAGACACCTTTGTGCAGAGAGCTTCACTAGAAAGATGCTACGAACATTAGCCTAGTTCGGGTTTGATAAATTTTAGGCTGCTTGTTCTCCAGCGCCAATCCTCTAAGACACCCCACGTGATGTAATCTCCAGAAGGGTGGGATGAAGGTCTGCTGTGTTTGCGTTGTTCTACTTACGCGCATGCCCTCCAGGCGCGACATCGCCCTCAGTGGTCTGAGCGCACGCAATGTGCGCATGGTTTTAAAGGCAGGGATGCGTCCGTAGCCCATCAGAGATACGGCCATGTTAAAGAAGGACACCTGGGTCGGGGTCAAGGCAGACGCAGGTTGGTTGATTGGCGGGCAGGTGGGTGGGGCGTGGCGGGGGGAGAGAGGCAGATGTCAACAGGAACACCGCGCGGCGAGAGATGGAGCACAATGAGCTGCTTCTTGTTCGCGTTTTGTCAATGCTGCCCTGCGTAGTCGAACCATGGTCATCACCCCAACTCGATTCTGCGGATGCTTAGCTGTTGTGGAAGTTATGAGCTTTTGAAATACAGCATTGGGCGTGCGCCTTTCAAGCTCTGGCCTTATTGATGAGGCAACGTGATGGCGCTGGGTCCTGCGATGTTAAGTCGAATACCTATTTTAGTTAAAACATTGCAAGCTTGGTGTGCGTGAAAAAACATTGCGGAAGCCTGTTTTAAAGATGGGCTCTTTGCCAATGCCCTATTGTGGAATTGTTTTGTTTTCCAGCATGTCATGAAAAAAAAACTCAAAATGCGTGTCTGAAAAAGAAAACGTACCGAAAGTTCACGCAACTTCCAGGGGCACTGTTTCTGCGAACCAGAGAATTAGCTAATAATTTTGATTTTTAGCTCAAGCAATTTCAAAGCAGAGAGTTATTGAACAAGTATGCAATTCTTATACACGAGCGAACTCGTACCTGTACTGCTATTTGTTATGCTAGTCAGAGCTCGCTATCACTTTGTCACATTTTTGTGCTAATGACCGTAGTTCGACTACAACCGCAATCCACACCGCGGTCAAAACACTCCCGTTTAACAAAACCCGCTGTTATACTAGGCTCCTACGAAGAAATCAAATTTTGCATGCGTCTTACCACAACGAGATCGTAAACACACTTTTAAAGTACCATGAGACAAAATCACTAGTTGGAGAACTCAATTATCGATTTTTTTGCATAAGATGAAGCCCCTGGAGCATCACGACATTCTAGCCATGCAGCTTCTGCGGCCAGCAGCTATTGTCTGCAGATGTTTTCTTGTTTCGCTGCTTTTGAGGCTTCACTACTTTTAACCTGTCGTTTGATCTACCTTAAGCAGTAACATGTGGTCAAATTGTAGAAGAGTAGTAAGCTGGGCGGGTTGGTAAACGTTGAACATAGTGGTCAAATTATTCATTGCCAAAAAATATTATTTATATGTGCGTAACTAGTTCAATATCATTGAATGTGCCATTAACATGTGTTGGCTTGTTAGCCGGAGGGAAAGATTTGGCGAGAAAAAGAAACAAAAATGAAGTGCCATTAATAGATATTTTTGTACAATAGTAGGAATACCTATAAGATATAAGTAGGATTCCGTGTTTTAGGAGTTTACTTTTCGTCCAATTCGGAGGGGGTCTTTCGGAGTTTATTTTTTGCCGAAAATTCTGAATTTATCGGAGTTTATTTTTGTTTGATTCCTAATTTTCCTAAGTTCCAAGTTTAATTACGCATTGTGGCTCATTAAATATAAATGAATAAATAAATAATATATGGGTGTAAACGTACGCTAGATGAAAAAAATTGAACGCGCTTGTATCAATTAATATTGTTTTCAGCTGGATTTGGCGCTAGTGCCATTGCCATTGGCAATACTAATTTGTCTCACGACAAAAGTTGCGCACATATGTTCCTTCGGTAAACGTTGATACTTTAAAATCAATAAACTCCATGAGGTAGTCGCTGAAACGCTCCTATTTATTCCATCCTATTTTCTTCCATCACTTTACTCCGCGGCCGCGCGAGGTGGAGTGGTAAAGGATTTAATAGAGAAGTTTGAACTGCCCCTCTTACCAATTTAATGCAATCCCTATGGTCCATAAACTTTACTGTTGCAAAAACACAACTTCTTTATCCTGTAAAGAACATATAGTATGGCCAAAACTTTAAACCAAACGAGTGACCGGAAAGTACAATGACCTCTTGTCCTAAAGAGCCTTGACGAGGTAAGAGGTCAGACCTACTTTGACAATGGGCTCGAAATTTTTAGGATAACTGTGATGCCATTTCTCAGGACTATTAATCCTCTGCGCTGATTAAACTTAAATGTAAAAGTCCATCGTCTTTTTTTTTTTTGCACATTACAATTTGGAGTTTATTGCATAGATAAGACTTGACAAAACGTTTTCCGGCGGGTGTTTTCCGTAGTTTTGGGGATTTATCAGGAAACACGGAATCCTACATATAAGCCTCCTGGTCATGCAAAGTTTATTCTAAATACTAGCAGGCCAAAAGCTGGAAGGCCGTTTCATGGTAGTTTTAATCAAAGCGCCATTACAACAAACCTGTCTTACACAAAGGAGATTGCTGCCTGCAAGTTGGACTCACTTTCTTAAGCACAATATTGACTTTCTCTTAGAACAGAAACACGATTTTCTGCCGTTTTACGTCTACACTACGAAGGAAGAGTCCGAAACCATTCATGTTTTAGTGAAAGTAAAGTTATACAGAAAAAAGTCCGCTGTTATACCAGATGACTAATCTAATTAGTTAGAACATTATAGTATACCTAGTAACTACAGTTACATAGTTGTCTTGTACTAGCTGATGTGGAGATTTGGAGATATCATCTTTGTTATAATCAAATGCTTCTTTATGAGTTCTTTTAGATATTGCTCAAATCTAGACGTGTAGTATGTGGGATCTCAGTGAACAATTCATTGACTGCAAAGTTAACGACTTGCTCATTGTTTACATCGAAATTGTTTTACTTTTAATATTACCGCGATATTGATTTGTACCCTTTAAAAAAAAAGCGCGGGTCACGTGACAGTCATGTTGCATTATTAGTGAGTCATTCAAGACATGAGTGCCTATACCAGGCGTGCATGTGGAATTAGTGTACATTCGTTTCTTCAGATACTTTAGCCAGTTTCAGACACTGCACTGTCAAAAGCAGCTATTATGAAGCTACCGAAGTTTATATATATATATATATATAACTGAGGAGAAAAAAACCCTTAGTGAAAACAGCAACAACGGACGATTTATTCTTCGACGTTTCGGCCGGAGTCCGGCCTTCGTCTTCCTTCCTGACGAAGGCCGGACTCCGGCCGAAATGTCGAAGAATAAATCGTCCGTTGTTGCTGTTTTCACTAAGGGTTTTTTCTTCTCAGTTATATACCCACGCCTTCGGGCTCCCGCCACCAGGCACGTTATGTATATATATATATATATATTATGTATATATATATATATATATATATATATATATATATATATATAGATAGATAGATAGATATATATAAGCCTACTGAAAACAGTCCACTATGTCTTATGTCATTATAGAAAGATTTTCAGTAATGGTGTGAAAAAAGCTTTAGATTGGGCCTGATTTTCGATGCGTTTGCCATATCATTTCACATAAAGAGAGATCACAAATAGGACAACTGGCTCCTGAAGTGATAGAGTTAACTATGACATAGCTGGGGGCGGATTAAGCTGGTTTCTAAGTTTTTACGTAGCAAGCTAAAAAAAAAAAAAAATGTAGACCCCCAAAACGTGCAAATAGAAAACTTTCTTGCTTATATTCTGAATTCTGGGGGAGTGGGGTCTATTTAGACAAAATCAAATATTTCCAATTTGGCCTTAAAAAGCTAGGTTATTGCAAACACAGCAATACTAAGCTGAGAGGAAGGTTAATGTGGCAAGAGAAGAGAGAAGATAAAAAAAAAAGAGAGGAATGCAGCCTCTTACCAGCACGATGACAAAGTCTAGCCAGCACCAGGCATTTGTGAAGTATTTCTTGAAGCCAAAGGCCACCCATTTGAGAAGCATCTCAAAGAAAAAGATGACCGTGAAGGTCTTGTCCATGTAGGTGAGCACGGCCTTTAGTAGAGGACGGTCCTTGAGGTTCACATCCTCCAGGGCCTGCACCGTGCACACAACAAGGCTTAGCATAAGCTCAGACTCTGGGTCTTTTACCACAAGTGAACGTCACGGAAATTCGGTAAGTATATTAATGTCCAAGAATAGGAAACGGCATCTAAGCTTGGATATGAAAATAACTGTTACATGATTAGGAAAACCAAGGAACTGAATTTTTTTTTATCTTCATTGGACTTTGTAGTTTAAGTACCATGGTTAGTTTCTTGGCTAACAAAGTCGCTGAACTTGGTAAGTCAAAGACCTAACCATGGTACTTGGCCTATGAAGGCTATGTTTTTTGTTAGTCTTGAAAGAAACAGAGAAAAAAAATCAAGGTAGTTTCAATGCTAGTGATGTTTTTTTGCCGGCCTTTTTAAATTTTATATTATACTCCCTGCACCACTTTGCTAGAACCATTGTTTTGTATTATGCCATTCTACAGTCTGGAAGCCTGTCTTAATTATACTCACTAAATACTACGAATGTAATAAAAATAATCCAAGGTGAATATTTTAATAACACGAGGGAAAATGAGCATATTCATAGACAGTTACGATCGTGAAAGGACACAACATGCAAGGTTCTTGTATCCTGTGCTCCTTAAAACTCGATAAGCCAGTTTTCGTGGCACTTGTGCGCTCCACATCAGACCCATGGTCTGGAAGAACAAAAATATTTTGGGGGTCCAATAATTACAGTAACAGCGTGGGCTTGTTTAATTCCGGTGTCTGGTATTCTTCGTTCCCGGATACTCTGCCTTCTGGAAAAACCGTTTTGTGAGCAAACATTAGGCGATAACATAAAACGTGACAAGGGGGGCCACACGCACAAAGTACGTGCAGGCCGCTTTGCTGCCAAGCGCACACAAGGAAAGCCCCCGAGCAGCCGCCGACCGCGTGCTCCGCTCTGCTTGCTCTATCGAGGCGACATCCCAGGCTAGGACACAATAACGCTATTTAAATTATATGCATTTAAAACGAAAAAGAAATCAATCTTAATAATATAGCTATTGACAGTCCAAGAAACACACGGCGTGTCTCGGGTTTCTGAAGTTTTCCGTGACTAAATTGTCCGAGTTCAAGTATAGCGACAAACAAACGACCGGCACCGACAGGCTTCAAACATGAGCAACGTGCACGCGAGGGTACCTCTGGTACGCCAGCACTCCTTCGCTGCTCGTAAATCAAGTGCGGTGACACATTTCGCGTGCGCGCTGCACGTGTTTGAGGTCTGTCGGTGTCGGCTTTTTCTGTTTCTCGCTACGTGTATCCGTTCACCCTAAAGGGGCCCAGGGAGGTTCCGGAGATCGTCTAAATATGGCGATAACTCACTCTCAGTGCTCTAAACGTGCTAAAAATCCGTAAATCATAACGATGCGCGGCCGATTCCCCTATTAAAGAAAAAAACAAACAATAAACGATCGAACACATTGAGGTCATCCAGGACAACATGTGACCAATGAAAACGCGACATTTCGTTCAGATTGCAAATGCTGTAATTACAAAATGTATACGCTTTTGTAGACGATAAAAGAAAATAAGAGTAGTCGAAAAATGCTAATTTTTGCGGAGAGGGAACATAATACTGCAATAAGTTTCTCAAAAACAACTCAAAATGTTTGTTTTCTCTCTTCTGCGGGAGTGATGTGTCCGGTCATCAGCCCTCGAGTGCGCGCTCGCTGGGTTGAATTGTGGCCCGGGCTGTTTGGGCAACGAGCCGCGAGCGTTCGAGATATAACTCCGCGGTTCCCCCGGTCAGAGGCTCGAGGACCTTTCGCTTGCTATTGTCTGGTAGTGGTCTTGTTTTCGGAACATGCCCCTCCCATTGCCGGAGACGACCTCGGTTTGTTGCGATCTTAGATTTGTTTTGTTTTTTAATAAAGGAATTGGCCGCGTTTCGTCATGATTTAGGGATTTGAAGGATGCGTAGAGCCAGAAGAGTGAGTTATCGCTATATTTAGGCGATCTCAAAAACTTCCTGAGGGCACCTTTAAGCTGAGACTTCAGCCAATACTACAAGCGCGAGCTAACCCGTGCTCCCAGCTTTGAGACCTGCATTTCTAGCGGGAGTGCTCGCGTTGGGAAAGAACTTCTCAGTGTAACGACCTTCACTCACTCGTGCTTGTGACATTGGATGCAGTCTCAGCTTAAGGGCGAATGGAGTACAGTGAGGACTCGTGCATAACGGTTCAGCAGTGTCTCACCAGTGCCAGGCTGCTGGTCAGAATGAGGATGACCACGACCGTCTCGAAGTACTTGTTCTCGACGAGGGCGTACACCTTTGTTCGCACGATCTTATACTTGAGCCAGAGGGGCTTGCTTTCGTCGTAGCAGCAGCAGGCCGCGAACCGGGTGTAACAGCAGTCCGGACAGCAGTCGGCGGGTAGTTCCGGAATTATCACGTCCGAAGTGGCCGTCTCCAGCTTGTCCGTGTCCACGTCTTCGGTGTCGGGGTTGGCCGCTTCCTCGGCCGGTGGTTCTTCGCCTGGTGCGTGTGTGTGTGTGTGTGTGGGGGGGGGGGGGGGGGGGTCATATTGTTAAAACGAACATGTTGCTTATTGAAAGCGCGCTTTGTCTAAACTGACTGAAAGCGACTTCCATTCAGTTTAGACAACGAGAAGAGAAGGCGGTAATAAACCCAATGGTCATGAGGTCTCAGTAGTGAAAAGTTGTTAATCAATGTTCACACCAAGCTTCCTTGGCCATTGAAACACAAAATTACTTACCACTCTCAATGTTTCTACTGATTAGCAGAATACCTATGAAACCAAAATAAACAACTGATATCGATTTGCGGAGACTAAATACGAACACTGCCAAAATATTACACTAACGGGAAAGCGGTGATGCACTCTAAAGCCGTTATTAGATATGACACCCCAAGCTTCTCAGCGGGCATTCAGCGGTTCACTGTTTGACAGTGGACGTAGTTTTGTTGGATGCGTCGAGGGCGATTGCGGTGTCAAAACCAACCTTGTGCCCCGAAGTCATCTTCGTACTCAAGAAGGTTACTTGTTCGTGCTGCCACCTCTTTCGCCGTGTTTTTTTGCTGCATTCTCAACCGTCCCAGCGGACGATTTCTGCTTGTTAAGCTATGTTTCAGCGGCCCTAGTTTGCAAAGTGCTCCTCAACGGCCCAGCACGAAGATTATTGACTCCCGGCTCGCTGAAGCGGGTCGAGGGGCCGAAGGCGGCATTCACTGGCGACCATATTTTAGTCCGTTCCTGCTCAAAGCGGGCTTGCGATTAGCTTCCACAACGCTTCTGCAACGTGCATTGCACCCCAACGAGATGGTAGCTCTTTACAGAAGCTAAGTGAAAGCTTGTTTCGAGCCTAGGTTCATCGTGGCCAACGAGCTTTTCGGCTGGCAACTTTATGAATCTGTATGAATATTTGCTGCAGATGTCTGATATCTACGAAGCCAAGCAGACCAGGAGTATCATCGCACCTGACTCGTCGGAACTGCTCTTGTGATTAGGACAGTCGTGCGTTTTGCGGTCCCGTGTTAGGAACTTTGCGTCACACGATAAGCATACAGCTGACAACAAGGGTTGCCCACAAGCTCGAGCCGGTAGTTTCGGTTTCGCCATAGACCCCCAAAATATTGATTTGAGGTAAGATATCTACAAAACTACATAGGGCATAAAAAAAATATGACGCCTCATATTTAAAGCGACACTGCTTTCACTAAAACAGTCGTAAAATCAAAAAGATATTCTGGAGTTACCCTTTAGGCAGACAGAAACCAATCACTGTTAAAAAAAAAGTAAATGACGAGGCTGCATTCCAAAAAAAAGACGTTTTTAAAAATTCTTCGACGCCCCAAGGACTCTTTTATCTCGTGAATAACGGTTTTGCCTCAAGCACTATCGCCCCCTGGCGCACTAGAAAGGCAACTGGGCGATGAAGAACTCTTTAGAATTAAAAAAGGAGCTTGAAACAACCCCTTGTAGGTTTCTACGAAGAACCCTTTTAGGGGGTGGTTAAAAGAACTTTGTAGTGTGCAAAAAATGAAGAAGCCAAAACGTGTGATGAAAGCGTTTTGACTATAATTAAAGTTAGAAACGTGGAGGTGACTACGACGTGTCATAGTGGAGTGTTAATTGCAATCGCTGATCATATCAAATCCTTTTCTGTGGACGTTATATGCGAGTTGGAAATAACGTGGGTTGGCCTGCTTGTTAACCATAAGAAGTGGATTATGGGAGTTTGTTATCGGCCACCCTCGTATTCGTTGCCATTTGTCGAAGCGTTACATAATACACTTAACACCATTATGGTGCGTTTTCCGGGTGCTCCAATTTTTCTTCTCGGCGACTTCAATTTCCCATCTATATCATGGTCAAACGACGTTCCTTGTGTAAATGTACATTCTGAGGAATGTATTTCGTTTATTAACCTATGTCTAGATTTTAGCCTTTCACAACTTGTTCTCCATCCCACCAGAGTTACCCAGTCGACAGCCAATGTATTAGACCTCATTTTGACCACTCATCCTGAGTATGCAACTCCCATAACATATCTGCCCGAGATTAGTGATCACAAAGTGCTGCATTTTTCTCTAAAAGCGTCGGCAACGAGACCCACTTTTCAGCCAAAACAAATTCGTGATTACGGAAAGGCCAACTTTGAGCAAATTAATAATGACCTTGCCATTTTCTTGAACCAGTATCTAACAACTTCTTCGGGGCGTTCTGTCGAAGATAACTGGAATATCATAAAGTTGAAATTTATCTCTCTTATCAACAAGCACGTCCCACTAAGAAATATATTCGAAAATACCCAGTCACCATGGTTTACGAAAGCCCTAAAACGGTTATCAAATAAAAAAAAAACGCTTATATCGTGCTGCGAAGTTTTCAACGTGTGGGCATCGCTGGGCTGCGTATCAGTTGTCTGCAGAAGTATATAAAAAGGCGATTGCAGATGCGAAATCAATTTTTTTTTTCAAATACTCTCCCAAATATGTTAATAAAAGACCCCAAAAGGTTTTGGAACACTGTCAGCAAGAAAGACACTTTTTCAATTTTACTCAAAACGTCAAGTAGTGATAGTGCCTCTAGTGATGACTGCGCTAATATACTAAATAATGTGTTTATTGAATCATTTTCCAATATTAGTAACATAAGCTACCCTTCAATTGTGTGTGCCGGTTATTTACCAATGGATGCTATTCTTGTTGACCCTATTGGTATAGTTAAGATTATAGATGGGCTGAAATTGTCTTCTTCTTCAGGAGTGGACGGCATTAATTCAAAATTTCTTAAAAGCACCAAGTTATATTCTTCAATTATTCTTGCTAAATTATTCGAACAGTCACTCCAAGAGGGTGACCTACCCTCGGACTGGAAGGTGGGGAAGGTGGTCCCTATTCCAAAAGCTGGTGACAAACATTCTCCTCATAACTATCGTCCCATTTCGTTAACCAGCATCCCATGTAAACTTCTCGAGCACATCATATTTTCCCATCTTGTAAACTTCCTAGAAATGAATAATTTTTTCACCACAGCTCAGCACGGATTTCGTAAATCATTGTCATGTGAAACTCAGCTTCTATCTTTCACTCACGACATTCATTCTCTCATTGACCAAGGCTCCCAGGTGGACTGCATCTTCTTGGATTTTGCAAAAGCTTTTGATAAAGTGTGTCATAAACTATTACTATTGAAACTTGCTAAACTTAACATTGACCCTAACGTTCTTGCATGGATTCATTCTTTTCTTACTAATCGTTCGCAATTTGTAACAGTCAATAATGAAAACTCTCCACTTGCGTCAGTAAACTCTGGTGTTCCCCAGGGGTCTGTTCTAGGCCCCTTACTATTCTTAATTTATATTAACGACCTACCAGTTAATATGTCATCATCCGTCTGTCTCTATGCCGATGATTGCGTAATATACCGTGAAATCCGAAGTAACCAAGACACGCTCACACTTCAGTCTGATATTAACTCTGTGTCTCGTTGGTGTGAGTTGTGGCTAATGAAACTAAACACTAGTAAATGTAAACACATGAGAGTAACCCGTCAGTTTAGTGAGAGTCCTTCTTACCACCTTGATGGCAACTCCTTGGAACAAGTGTCGTCATACAAGTATCTTGGTGTTAACTTAACTTCTAACCTTTCATGGAAACCCCATATAGAATATGTCACTAATCGTACTAACTGCATGCTGGGTTATTTAAAACGGAATTTTTCTTTAGCACCTGTTTCACTTAAATTGATCCTCTATAAAACATTAATAAGACCTAAGCTTGAGTATGCAGCATCCATCTGGGATCCCGATCATATTACCCTCATCACTGCTTTAGAATCCATTCAAAATAGATCAGCTCGTTTCATTCTATCGAACTATCACCGCACCGCCAGTGTCTCGTCAATGAAGAATAATTTATCTTTACCATCTCTTTCACTTCGCCGTAAAATTTCACGCTTATGCCTTTTTCATAAAATTTATTTTCATAATCCCCTATTACGCGACCATTTCATAACTCCCCCCTATTACATCTCGCCTCGTGTAGATCACCAGCACAAAGTTGGAGTCCCAAGCTCATTAACCAACACATTTCATTCATCTTTTCTACCACGCACAGCTCAAGAATGGAACCACCTTCCCGGTTTAATTGCTGCCATAACAGACTCTAATCTTTTTCGAAGTGCCATAAATAACCATTTTTGCGCTGATTTCTGACCTGTTTGTTCACTTTTTTGTTTTAGTATTGCTGAATTGTTATATTTTCCCTGCCTACGCTCTCCCCCTCTGTAATGCCTTCGGGCCCTGAGGGTACAATAAATAAATAAATAAATAAATAAATAAATAAATATGAACATTTTTGCAGCAGCTGTGCATGCGCGCCGCCATAACCACTCTTCAGGTTTTGTTTCCTCTTATTGCGTTTACTTCCCTTTATCATGATTGAAATTTTAGATTCCGCTGTTTTCTTCTCCTCAGCATTTGCTTTGTGGAGGCTTGTCAACGCTCGATTAATTGGCTCGGTACTTCACTAAGACAAGAAATGGTTAACAATGGCGGCTGTAACCTGGCGCCTGTCTAAAGCGTCTATACATACGCCCTGCCCAATGCCGCGTCTAAAATATAATATCGGTTTTGGTTACCACTTTCTTCTACTGAACGGTGATTTGCCGAACACATTCAGTAGGCTTCAGTGTTGACTCTCAAAATGCTGCGGGGTCAAGTAGTGGTACGGACATTTTTCGAACGACAGATGCAAACGGGCTAAGCAACAAAAAGTGCAGCAACCTTTGCTAGGCTGAACGAGGTTTTTTCGATCCTCGTCCCAGAATGCGGTCCACGTAGCCGCGCCCTGAATAATTTCATTGGCGAGATGAAACTTCGAATGCTTGTGTTTCAATGAAATTTTGAGAGTTATTTAATTTAGGGTTCTTTTTTTTTACTTCTTGTGCCACTAGAAGTAAAGATGCATCTACAAATTTTTACGAGAGGAAGAAATAGAGCCCTATAGTCGTACCTGACAAAACAGACGTCGCAAAAGCAGGTTCGACTGTCACGTGACCACGGGGCTACGTAATTGTACTAAGACGACGTGACACCCTAGTAAAACGTCACGTGACTTTCCGATAAAAAAAACTATATTATTGAACATAAAAATAAAGGCAGCACATAAGCTCGCTGAACTAAGCGGGTGAACATACGCTTTGTCATTACACATTCGTGAGAGAAGAGGGGGAAAGCTAAAAAAATAATAATAAAAACTAACTTAAAAGACCGTGAAACAATTTTTGTAGTTTAGCCTCCTGGTTCTGAGAATAGCCATTTCGAGTTCGTAAAAAGGAAAGCAGCGATTACAGTGCATGATAGCTTAAGAGACGCAGGGTGTAGCGAGTCGGGATTACCTTATTATGGCTCCACAGTCAATGAGATAGCGGTATCAATTGATAAAAGCGTCAAAGAACGAATCACAAAGCAAGAAGCGTGACCATGACAACCATCGCCCAGCGTTTCCTAAGCTACGAGTCACAGTCGTCGCGCGAGGCAGAGTATGGTCGTCCAGTTCCTCGCTGCTAGAGGCACTGGATTGTGGGAAGGTGTAACGCCAACCTCCCCGTATTGTCGCGATTTTAGGTTCATGGAACGGGTTGTTTCTTCTTTACCCCTCTATTCTTGATAAGCCGATCGAAATTATCGGTGACAAGGTGTTTCATAAAGACTTGAATTGTATACCGAGGTTTTTATTATTCACACAGGCCAAACAAGCGCTCATTTTGACACCGTGCCTGTCTTATAATGCGCAAGAAGAACATTATAATTGTAAGAGATCCGTTGAGGTAAGCATGTTTCGTAAGTTAATCGCATACACAGTGCCAAAGGCGCGTATATTGGCGAGGAACTATTTTAGTACGATTAAGTTCCATAGCGATATTAGCGACTGTTTCAGAACAACGCTTTCGAAATTTCGATGATTCGAAAGGACCCAAATGGCGATTGCCATGGCAATAGAGACCGATAAGCTAACCTCCTTGCGGGGTTTTAACCGTCTGTAAGGTAGTGTCTGTTTGTCACCGGCTGGCAGGCAGGCAAGAGAATGGGGCTACTTTATCAGGATACAGTGACTTTACCCGCTGCCAGCTTCCTTTTCATGGTACCTTTAAATGATCCTTCAGCGACCTGATTTCTGCGGTAAATGCATGGAGTGAATCCGAGGATCGCGTACCTTCTTTGGCGTCGAGGTCTTCCTTGCTGGCATCCTTCTTCTCCTCCTCGCCCCCTCCTCCCCCGTTCCCCAGGTAGAGGGAGGTGTTGCTAAGGTCTTTGGACGGCTTGTTCACCAGCAGGCTTTTCTCCTTGGGGCTGGAGGCAGACCTCTCGCTCATCGTGTCCTCGTCCTTACTCGGGTACACCTTATTGTTCCCTTGCGCCTCTTTCTCCTGTGTATTTTGGGAGGGAAAGGAAAGAAGATGGGGCCTCTTTAGTAGCGGAATCAAATCAAATGAAATCAAATCAGTTTATTTTTTTGCCACAAAAATACATTCGTAACAAGGGCGCTGGAAAAAAAGCTGCAGTTAGCAGCTTGACGAGTCCCAGTGCCCTAATACAAGGCAGCAGCGGAACTGACATGAATAAAAAAAAAAAAAAAAAAAAAAAACACAGTATATAACAATTACAAAAAAAAATAATCTACCTAAGAAGATGTATTTTTTTACCTAAAGCTTCTCAATAGGATGGTTCCACGAAACGCTTTTTCACTTCCAGTATGCCGCGTTCCGCCATTTTGATGAACACCGTCCGCCACTTGCACCATTAATTTGCATGCAGACGCTTAGTTATTGTCGTTGTTTTTGGTGTTGGTGAAGCAAACTGGCGTGGCCGAGTGGTTCCGTAGACTACAGCACTCAGCAAGTACGACCGGGCTGCAGATAGCAAAGCCTGGTGCATTTTTTACTTCCAAGAAGTCGACCTTCGACAGGTTGACTTCTTGATCGCAATTCGTCTTAAGTTAAAATTAGAAAAAAAAAAAACAAAAAAAAAACAACATATATAATAATCAAGTGCCAGCCGGTGCTTTTTAATGTTCTCTCCTTCTCCGGTGAGTGCACTTAATGACGACGCAAAAAATGTTAAGGGAGCTAAAAAGGAACGCTGCCTCCACGCATAGAAGCATAGAAAGACATACAGGATAACTTAATTGACATGGAGTCTGGAGAGATTTCTAGCCAAACGTATATCGCGTGATATCACCCTGAAAACGAGATGAACCAGTGTACTCAGATTTTCTTCATGCCAGCACCTTTGCTCTCAAATACCTTTTGCTTTCTCACCAGTTGGCTGGTGTTTACCACGTGACTAAATTCGTTCCCGTGATTCTACGCGACGCTTAAATTGGTCAGACACGGTGGGCATGAGCCGCCATTTATGAGCGCCACGCCAAGTGAAGTGAGGACTGAACGTGTACTGCTAAGGATTCGGCCGAGGCTCGTGACGTCACTGACTGAATACGACACTCATCCGAACAGTGACGCAGCAGTTTCGTCTAATCCGTTTTTTTGGTTCGCTTCTTTATGTGAAGTAAAAAAAATTCATCAAAATGTTCTTGTTGTCTATACTCTGTTGCAAGTTAATAAAAGCAGGACAAGCCCCTCCCACAAAGCCCTCCCCCTTTCACTTTAGCAGGGCGAACGCCGGAAAGGAGGTTGCATCCTCTCCAGCGTTCGCTCTGCTAGAGTGTAAAGGGTTGAAAGAGCTTCCCTGAACTCTGAAACCGACAATAGGTGCATTTGTAAAATATAACCTTGTTAGTAACTTAATTATGTTTCGACTTGTGTGACTGTAACTGCAGGCGTAAATCTGACGGTTTTTATTGGTTCATGTAGACAGGTGGAACACTTATGCCGTTCGATATGTACATAAAAAGGGGATGTCCTCACCTTTTCTTTGTTATCTTTTTCGGGCGGCTTGTTCTTGGGCTCGATCATAGGACCAACCCAGACGGAGTTCATCACAGGCTTGGAGTTGTTTTTCAATTTCATTTTAACGGCCTTGCCATCACCTGGGGAAAAGGAAGGAAAACTGTCTCAGGTCGGTTGAATTTAGTAGCCCCATGCTGACACGCTCGAAAGCGAAACGGTTTTTTGAACACACTTCGGATGTCCGAAGTCTGCAAGCTCCGATTCACAACTTAAGCTAATCAAAGTGAAGCGATAACTGAATTATGACACACAATATGCAATTCAGACTGCAATAGAATTCTGCAAAACCACTGTAAAAAGTTATTACATGGAAGCCACTAAAGAAAATCGGAAACACGAGCGAGTCATTATTATGATAGGTCACGCACTTCGTTTCTTAAGCTGTCACTATGCGGAGAGCAAGTCGTCTGCTTCTTGCGCAGGAGTTGCGGTGACGTCAGAAAGATGCCGAGCTCTGATTGGCTCTGATTGAGGGATAGTGGGTAGACCTGAGAGCAAGCTGGCTACCCACTATCCTTCATTCAGAGCGTATCGGAGCTCGGTGTTCTGACGTCATCCCAGCCCTGCAAAAGAAGCAGACGAACTTGCGCTCCTCATATTTATTATTTATTTACACAAATACCTGCCGCGCCGTTGGGCATTATGCAGGGCGGAACAAAAGAAAAACGCATTCAAACTACATTTTCAGTAACGTAATCCTCAATCATTCAGTACTACATTTTCATTCGACCACGCTTCTCTGCAGTCTGTCATAAAAGACGTCATTATTGATAACTGCTATCAGTTCTTCCGCAAGGGCATTCCACTCCCGGGCGGCTTGAACAAACAAAAACGAAACAAAAAACAAAAAAGAAAACAGTCAGTACGGTAATGATACTCTGCCGCCTTCTTAAAATGATTCCGCCTTGAAAATACATGGTGTGGTTCGAGAATGTAAAGACCCTTTTCAATGCCTGTTTCCCCTTGATATATATTGTGAAAGAATTTTAACCGCAAACACTTTCTCCGAAGTCTAAGAAGGTCCCAACTTGTACTTCATTTCTGTACAGCTCGAGTACGAACTATAATCGCCTGTGACAATCCTTAATGCCTGATTTTGAATTCGCTCTAACTTATAACACAGGCATACTCCAAAATTGGTGTGGTAAAAGAAAAATACAATGTTTGTCTTACGCTACGAGATGTATTCTTAATATTCCTCCGAATAAAAAATAACATCTTACTTGCCTTTGCTACAATACTATCTATGTGGTCATTCTATTTTAGATTATTCGAAAAATAATCAGGGTGTCACAAAAGAAAATTTACAGGGTGTCACAAAAAAAATAAATTTACAGGGTTTTTTTACCGAAAAAATAAACTAGGCATCGCCGAACACTCATTCTCCGCCCAAAGGTAGCGCTAAAGGTCACAACCAGATGCCAAAGTTTCAGCCCGATCCGATAACTTAATCAAAAGTTATAAGTGATTTTCTAAAAAGTTCAATGGGAAAATAGCGGCCGACGGTGTTTTCGAATACATGGGGCTCTATGGCGCCAGAAACCGAAAACGGGCCAAAATGGGCTCCATTTTCCCATTGAACTTTTCTGAAAATCACTTATAACTTTTGAATAACGTATCGGATCGGACTGAAACTTTGGCCTCTGGTTGTGACCTCTAGCGCTACCTTTGGGCGGTGAATGAGCGTTCAGCGATGTCTAGTTTATTTTTGCGGTAAAAAAAATTTCTGTAAACTAATTTTTGTTACACTCTGTACTTCTTTTCAGTTTAACTCCATACGCAGCCAAGGCTGCGAGGGAACGGAACAAATCGAGCAGCGTCAAAAGCGCAAGTAACCAGGCGTTTTCGTTTACGGTCGGTTCAGCGGCGATAGAACACGCACGGAAACATGAAAACACCATTACTGGGCGCGTTTGACGCTGGTTGATTGGTCCGATCAGCCCGTGACGTCGGCTGTGTCTGGACTTAAGTTGATAAGTCCTAGGCTGCGGAACACGTCCTAAGCAGGCTTGGTAGACTTCTTACGATGTATACAAGATGGTAGTAGCCCGTGTCCACAACCTAATGACTGAGCACTTTTCCGCAGGGTGTGGTAAGTTTCAAGCACCTCATTATCACTTTACAGCCAATCAGACTGCAGCATTAGCCGATGAGAACACCGAAAGAACCAATTGCGAAGCAAGACGCGGGAACAGGAAAAGCTGCGCCGTACATTTCTTAGAGCTGAAAGCGACTACAGAGTCCTTTTGTCAGCGAGGTGTCCACAAAATTACAGAATCTTGATCGTGCCGTTAAAGAACAGGGGGAGCGGGGGATGCGTTGAGCGCAAAACTCCCGCCTCAAAGAAACTGACATCACGTGACTCAATGTAGGTGACGTGTTTCACGTCACGTCAATTTGCCCGCTGAATTTAGCGGAAACATCATGCGCGACTTTAGGTTTCATGTCGCAATCACGTGATTTCAGTTTCCCCGCAAAATGAAGGGGGAAATTTACGTCCGTGACATTCATTTCCCCACTAAATTTAGTGGGGAAATCGACGTCCTGTGACGTCACTTTCCCCGCTAAATGTAGCAGTAAAACTGACGTCACGTGCCTTGAGGTTACACGACGTGATCACGTGACGTTAGTTTTCCCGCAAAACGTAGCACGGACATTGACGTCAGTGACATAAATTTTCCCACTGAAATTAGTAGGCAAAACTGATGTGACATCTAGATCACTTTCCCTGCTGAACTTAGCGGGGAAAACTGTCATCACGTGACTTGAGGTTACATGACGATGTCATGTGACGTCAATTTCTTTGACGTAACTTACGACTAATTCTCCGCCAAAATTTAGCGGGGAAATTGAAGTGGCGGTCAATCGTTAGAAGTTTTCGTGACGGCTTTCTCATGGAATTCGGCTGTCGAAAAAAAAGGGTCGGGGCTGACCTTGAATGGCGATCTCGAGGCCGTCCCCCACCACAACCTCGAGGTCGGCGTTGTTGTGCGGGGGCTTTTTGTCTCGCATCGGAACCCGGCCGTCGAGGAGGACCACCTCCCCGGCGCCGGCCGGGTCACCTTCCAGCTCTTCGCCTGCCGCGCCGTTGCTTCCACGGATGTCCGTCGTCTGGTCCCCGATCTGGTTGCGCGGTTTGCGCCGGAAGGTCTGTGGAGCGAGAAGAAAAGCCACGAAGGCCCACCCCCGGAGACGCTGGGGTTAGGTTGTGTCGTCCTCAAGAGACGCGAAGAGTCTACCTTACGGCCTCTACACAACATGCAGGGAAGGAGGGTAGGGAGGACATAACCGGGGCTCTGATCGGGACAGTTGGCAAAAAAGTCGGCGAGGGATTTGAACTGCCGTGATTGGCCGGCGCCAAGGTTAATCACTGCCGCCAGATTTCTCCAAGTGTCCTGATTAGAGTACCAGGAAATCAGTGAAGTTAGTCTGGGGATTTTCTGGGCTGGATGAGTTGCCGAATGTGAAACAGGTTAACAAGCAGATTACGTATTGATGAACATCTTTAAGGAACAGAGATATAATCCTTCTGGATAAATTCCTATATGCCCAGCACCACAGATGCATTGATCGAGTACAGAAGGTCCACGCCTTTATTTTGAATTGTTTATTTCTGGGAATAATTGATCGAGCACCATTTTCTTTCTGTTGCTCTTTTCGAGTACAAAGTCATAATTTACCCTTGTTATTTTATTACCAATAAATGTCTTTTTAGCAGGCAATATATTTCATGCATGGAACCATTTTCACGAGGAATAAAGGCTTACATCAACAATGCTTAAACAGTCAGGCAGATAGGCAGACCATTCGCACCACGAAACATGCGTTAGACATATAGAACACGAGCCATTTCTTGCTGCCACACACTTTAGCCCACGACATATTCAGCACAAATACAGCGCCGACATTCAGCTAATGAAGCTTTGATTCTCCAGATGACTTTGAAGGGTGTATGAAGGTTAGCAGTAAATTGAGGAAAACAGTGTTGATATGCAGTGATACAGCACTGAACGAGCACCAAGTCAATGCCCAACCAGCCATGCACAGCCTGCAAGTATATCTTAAATTATACCGTTTACGAAAGTGCAGTGAATATTAAGTAATGCACTTTTTGTCTTGCATTGAGGCTGCACCATGGATGTATACACCGGAAGGTCTCTGCAGGCCTAACTTCTCTAGCCGAATGCCTGAATTGTAGCGTCTTTGAATGTTTCAGACCTTCCGTGGTTCGGGTTCGATCAAGTTAAACTTATTGTAGCCTTAATCGCCAAGTTCGTCAGAAGGGCGTGCGGAAATCGAAAACAAGCTCACGCCACCTGGGTGATATATTGGAGGGTGAAATATATCAATTTGGTTGTGTGGTTGCCATTACAACTCGACTAAATTATTAAAACCTTAGACGTCTGATTTTGTGTTGTGCAAACATTGGTCATTATCACCTAGAAATAATAATAAAGCACTAATTAAGTTAATTTCCCCCAAACGCTAATTTTCTTTTTTCTTTTTGTGTTGGAGACCGCCAACACTTTTTAGGAAGTCGAACTTAGTGGAATTTTGCCAAAAAACGTTTAAAGGCTCGCAGTACCATCCGAACCTCAGGCTCGCCAGAAGTTAACCTACATTCCTTTAGCGACAATCACAGCCTGAGAACCGCAGGGTGTGGCTCAGCATATTTCACGCTTCCTGCTTCGTGATTCGTTCTTTGGCGTTCTGATCGGCTAACGCAGCAATCTTATTGGCTGCTGGGAGATATTGAGATGCACGGGACTCACCCCACCCTGCATTTCTTATGCTGTTAGTGACTCTATACACGTTTTTACCTTAAGTAAAAAGGAAGTTATGCGCATTGCTCGTACGCCCGGGCGAAGTAGTTCTTCCAAGATTTGGTTGTCGGAGGACGAAGCGATGCTTTTGGCGTTTGAAGCGTGTACGTCTTGATAAGGTAACCTGCATCTAATCTAGAATGGACCTACGTGCATCTTAATTATCTACATAAAGGAGGAAATTAGTATTGCTCTGCGAGGAACCGGACCTATTTTACTACGGCTTTTGAGGTGAACACGACTATAGTAGCCCAATTGAAGTTGTCCACGCGGCGTAGTTAGTATGACAATATTAATCCCTGGAGAAGGGGAACAAAGGAAACAAAGGACACACATCTCCAAACACAGCTGCTGCGCGACCGAAAAAATCCGCGTGGTCCTGGTATTGAACCAGGGACCTCTTCATTTCCAGTGGAGCGGTCTACGAACTGAGCAAACCAGGAGTTAAATGTCAGTAGAGCAAACCGGTTTTACCAGCTTCCACCAGTCATACACGAACATGGACTAACGGCCTGCAATTGAAGGTTATGACCGTACTGCAATGAATGCAAAGGCGCAAGCGAGCTGGACAAAAATGACAATAATAATACCTGGAAGAAGGGAACAAAGGGAACGCGCACCAGTCACCTAGTTATGTTTGGAGATTTGTGTTTGTTCTCTGTCCGCTTTGTTCTCCTTCACCAGGAATTATTATTGTCATTCTTGTCCAGCTCGCCTGCGCCTTTGCATTAATTGCATTATAATCGTACTTAGTGTCGCTCTCGTGGCTGCTATCGCAGCGTAAACTTATGCTCCTGTGTCCAGTTCAGGGTGTAAGATAGACAGGTGGGGAAACGAGATCCAAGTGAGCGACCGGATTGTGTCCCTCTCGGTTTTCTCTTTTTCTGTGGCGCCATCTATATGGAGCACCGCGAACTCTCACTCCGGGTGGGTGACCGGTTGCGACCGGCTAAACTGACGGAGATGGTTTCTCGTGGATCTTCAATGGAGGACTGTCGTGCTCTCGGTTTATTTTCGGCACTCTCTCATAAAGTTTCATGCAAATCCAATTCCAAATTTTTTCTTCTCGCCGCAGCGCCATCTGCCGCAAATCGGCGGTACCCGCAAGCAGACGAGCACACAATCCTGTCACGGTGCTGCGGTAGGCTTCTTTGGGCCGTTTCCCCACCTGTCTGTCTTACACCCTGGTCCAGTTTCTGATGCTAGCATCATGCAGTGAGTTCCATGCAGGCAAGTGCTACCGAGCTACGGAAGGGAAGGAGAAGACACCGAGGATAACGTACGCAGACCTTGACCACTTTCATGGAATTGGACTTGATCCACCGGCTGGCTCGATGGAACCGGTCGATGGCTTCTTGAAGCTTCTTTGTGTCTCCACTGTCTGGGTTCGCTTGGGACAGGTTGGATGCCCCAAACGAGGACAGTAGCAAGGCCAAGAAAAGGTTGAGCACCTGGCGGTTGAAAGGAAACAAAAACACCACAAAAGCGACGTGATTGCGATGGGAAAGCGTCTGAACGAAGCTCCGGTGCACTTCTTATCCCTGGTGTAAATTTTTCCGGTGCTACTTTATAAGGAAAGTCTGTACATTTTTCTGCATTTTTTTATTTTGTAGAATGGGTGTACTTTGCAATTGTTTTCTGCACGCACGTTAAAAAAACAGTGATTGTTTCTCTAAAACACACACAAAAAACACGAAAAGTTGAGATTTAATTTAAAATTTGTAACATCCTTATGATATCGCGTATCGTACTGCTGCAATATTTGCAAACCACGGACAAACGAGTTCGAACACCGGCCAATGTCCGAGTACCTTTCAACTTTCATTTATCTTTGTATTCTGCTCACCTTCTGCTCCGTGTGATAAACAAGACTGAATCCTTTTTATGCAAAAAAATATTTCCGCCTCAAGAAAGGGAAGTTATTTTTTACTCTTTTGCAATATTCACACAGTAACAACCACCGGTATAGCTTTGAACACCGTCATCCAGCTCTGGCCTGGATGGAACAAAGACATTGTAACAATCAGTGGTGACGACTAACTGACCTAAGTTCTATAACTCTGAGCTCCAAGGTAATTAATTTTTTTGTTTGTTTCGGGAGCGCGCAGGGTGCTTGATCAAAGTAAAGAGTACGCGCCCCACGGACGTCCAAGAAAAGAGGGTTTCGACAAAAACAGTCATGTCTTCGAAGAAACATTTCCAGAAGTCGATGGTTTTCGGTTTTAACAGATTTCCTACTTTTGACATCGACGGATGTTCATCAGTGCTTTTTGGTAAAAACAGGAATCCGTTGCCGAGAACTCATTCAGGCATTGTGCCTGAGCTCCATATTGTTTATGGGTAGATTGGAAATGCCTTGATTATCAAATAAGTTCCTTCACTACCATGATTGCGATGATTAAAGTATACAAAAGTGGAAACAGCGCAAAAAATTAAGCCAAAAATTAACAAAGGACGAGTAAAAAAAGTGCACGAACACGACGCTGTTAGTTCAGATCAAAGTTTACGAAAGCTGTTAGTGCGAGGTAATTTCTTTTGAACGAGGTTCTTTTTTTCGTTACTTAGAAAACTTGTTTGTAAGTTTAAAACTGAAACGAACACAAAAAATGGGCAATGCATAAAAACTACTGTCAACTCCGTGTTCTGTTCTCTGTGTCTCCTTTTTCGTGTCCATCTTTGTTTGTGCGTAACCGTTTCTGTAGCACCATGCGCCACTTAGCCCGACAAGTCTCGTTAAGGTTTCTTTCGTTGCTCACGGTACACCTGACTTGCGGTGCGAGCATACGTACCACAAGGTTGCCGATGACGACGGTGGCGAGGAAGAAAGGGATGCAGGGCCATCCGGAGACCCACATGCAGTCCCACATGGACTGGATCCATTCCCCGCACAGCACCCGGAACACAATCATGAATGAGTGCATGAAGTCGACGAAGTTCCACCGCGGCACCATGTTCTCTTTGAACCTGTACAACGGAAAAAGAAGAACAAAGAGGTGTGAGACCCTTGATTTGTACGTGGGACTCGTGAGAGAGCATAAGAAGCGCGGGACATGGCTTGCTATGTTTAGCACCCTTTGCCTTTAGTGTCGTGATTGGATCTTCGGCCTTCTTTTATACTAAAGCTGCCCAATCATTTGCTATGGAGCGATAATAAGATGTTTTGAACTCGCAGCGTCCTGCGTTTTTACAGCTTTTAATGACTGTAGTAACATAATCTTTGGACAAAAGATGTTTGTGTTCCGTAGAACCTGTTTTTCCTGACATTTTCCGGGCAAAACAAAAATCGAAGGTATATGACTGGAAACGTGTTTGTAAAGAATTAGTGTTATCTAAGCCAATAGGCTTCGTGCATAAATGAATAATAAGAAGCACTTATTGCTCAGAAACCCACAGGGCAGAAAATGGCTCCAATAACTTTTTCCCGAACAAGGCATGTCTAAGAGTCTCATATTGTATTGTGTCACTAAGCTGTACTTTGTGGCTGAAAAAAAATGAAAGCCGCTTACAACTCCCTGTAACGCCGAATTAGAGCGCAGCTCTTGAGGAGGAGGGAAGGGCACGGGGGGAGGTTAAACTAACCAGGGGGGTGGTCAAGTGACCTTGGGGGTCACGTGACCCCCAATGCCGATGATGTCATCACTGACGTCACTGATGACGTCATCAGTGACGATGACGATGCGGGTACCGATGACGTCATTAGTGACGTCACTGATGACTTCACCAGTGATGATGACGATGACGATGCGAATGTCGGTGACGTCATCAGTGACGTCGCTGATGACGTCATCAGGGATGATGACGATGCGGATGCCGGTGACGACATCAGTGACGTCACTGATGACGTCATCAGTGATGATGACGATGACAATGCGGATGTCGGTAACGTCATCAGTGATGATGACGATGACGATGCGGATGCCGGTGACGTCATCAGGGATGATGACGATGACGATGTGGATGCCGGTGACGTCATCAGTGATGATGACGATGACGATGTGGATGCCGGTGACGTCATCAGTGATGATGACGATGACGATGTGGATGCCGGTGACGTCATCAGTGATGATGACGATGACGATGCGGATGCCGGTGACGTCATCAGTGATGATGACGATGACGATGTGGATGCCGGTGACGTCATCAGTGATGATGACAATGACGATGTGGATGCCGGTGACGTCATCAGTGATGATGACGATGACGATGCGGATGCCGGTGACGTCATCTGTGATGATGACGATGACGATGTGGATGCCGGTGACGTCATCAGTGACGATGACGATGACGATGTGGATGCCGGTGACATCATCAGTGATGATGACGATGACGATGTGGATGCCGGTGACGTCATCAGTGACGATGACGTCATCGGGGGGTCACGCGACATCGGCGGGGGTCACGTGACCTCGAGGAGGGGGTCACGTGACCTCAGGGGAGTCACGTGACTTCGGGGGGTCACGTGACCTCGGGGGGTCACGTGACTTCGGGGGGTCACGTGACCTCCCACGAGGTCACGTGACCCCGGTGGGGGGCTCGCGCGGTGCATTATGGGACATTTCCCATGATGCACCGCGCGGTTACGCCAACGGCGACGCCGACGGCGACGGCGACGGCGACGGCGACGCCGCTCAAGCCGGAAACGGGCCCCTAAGAGCTGCGCTCTAAAAGACGACTAGGAATTGACTGTGAGACTGCATTTCAGTACTTCGAAACAAGTACCACCGCACCTTAGGACGCCTCGGTCGAATTCACTCACCTCACTCATCCTCACCAATCAGACGTGATGTGAGGGAGAGTGAGTTCATAAGCCTCAAAACCTCATGAGTTTGAGGTTGAGTAAGGAGCGTGAGTTCGGCGAGGGGCGTGAGTTCGGTGATTTCATGAGTTCGGTGAGTTCATGAGTTCAATGAGGGGCGTGAGTTCATGATGTCGGTGAGGGGCGTGAATTCGTGATGTCGGTGAGTTCATGAGTTTGGCAAGGCATAAGGTCCCTGAGGGGCCATGGGTTCGATGAGGGTTTGCGGGGTGACGTCGACGAAGGTTGGGTCATGTGACTTCACCGTACATTTCCGGGGAAGTTGAGTCGACGCTCGCTTCGCAATGATGCTGTTAGCTCGTACGGATGTCCTCTAAGAGGGATAGTAAAGGAGGAAAGTCGCCAATTGACTCATGTGCGCTCTTCGTCTCCGGCTGGCTTAGTGCCGGGTTGGCATGGTCTTTTGCCGCTGCTCGCTGCCTCGGGACGGAATGACAAGAGAGGGGAAAGGGCTCTCCAGCTCGCCTCGTCCGCTCTCGTGTAAACTGTGAGACACCGTTATACGCGCTGCGTTTTGTTATTTCGTGACGGAGGCAGACGGGGGCTACGCCGGTACGCCTGAAAGCAGACGTCGCTATTTCCAGTGCGCTCGTCTTATGCACGGTTGCTAATTCTGAAGCCAATATTAAAATGAAAGCCGACGGGGAACTGTCGCGACTCGCCTGTATACTTGTTTGTTCAAGCTGTAGCCTGGAATTCTGCAAAAAAAAAGCACGCATACACGTCTTCGTGCTCGATTACGCACAAAACGCTGGACTCGTTCGCAATTGGGTTGAAAGGCTGCTACATTTATTTGGTATAATATAAAAGTTGATTCGGTTGTGGATTGTAAAAAAATTATTTCAGACGATATGACCCTAAATTAAAATAAAAATATAAAACAATATTTTTTTTACTTTCACCTAATATTTATGATAACCGATTGATGTTCTATTCAGCTATTTGACACATCGTTAGTCACACAAGAGGGGGCCATTGATCATAGTCGGAATACTTGCTGCACCCGAAAACGTTTCGGGTGCCGGAAAAAGGGTTTCCTTACTAGCTCCAAAGGCATTTAAATATTTGTTATGATTCATATTTATTATTATTAATCGACCGGTACTGCTCATGCCGGTGTACGTCCCAGGTGTTTACGGAAAGCGCTGTTTGATTTTATATTTACACAAGTAAAGCACAGGAGGGAGGCGGCAAGATCGAAACTGAAGTCATTCAATATAATTGATATGCGTGCATCCGCGTGCGAGCATGAAGGCAACCTTCCCCTCCCGAAGAAATTAAGCGCCCCAATTTTTTGTATTTAACACCGTTTAATTAAGTGGCATACGCGTCCTTCCCCTTCTCAGATATATCGTGGATATCTGAATTAGGCTATCAACAGGGAAACGTGAATTAATTTAATAATCGAATGTATAAGAACGTGGGATTTAGACTAGCAGGCTGTTTATTCATTCAAATTAGTGAAGACATTAAAAATTAACTTCCATTAAAAACTAAGAAATGATTTTAACAGAAAACACGTTTGTACACGAAGTTTGCAAAAGTTTGCATTCAACATGTCGACAGGTTTGAACACAAACACATTGTCTGAGTAGCAAAAATACAAAAGGCATCTGCCCGATCACGATTTTATGAGAGGACCTCTAAAGTATAACATTTTACGAGGCATCGAGTCGGTAGATTAGAACGTTCTAGTTTTAATTTGTATGTGCGGTGCAACAGAAAAGGAGACGCGATAAAAATATATACAATAATATGGTACGCACAAAGTTCTTGGATCGTCCCTTCTTCCAGTGGAAACAATATCCACGAGTCATTTATTGTAGGTGAAATAATGTGTGTGAACGGCGATCACTAGAAAGACAGACCGTTCCGAAATAGTTCGACTCGACAACGGACTTCCGAACCAACCGTCCTACAATTAAAACATTCGCCATATTCTACTCAGAACGAAATACACACGCACGGAGGTGCGTGTTGGAATAATAATAATTTACACCTGAATAAATAGTGATGCAGACGCTTACTCCATACTTGCGCGAAGATGTCGCGAATGCTTGAAACAAACAGTGCACGCCGTGAAGAATACTTCTTCACAAGACTCGCGAGGATGCGTTCTTGCATCCCAACACAGCGCGCCTTCCTGAAGCGCTCGGCCGACGTGCCGAAGCAGTCGAAGCGAAACAAACAGAGCGACAAAAAGTTTCTTCACTTCGCGACGTGACGGCTGGCGCCGGAGCGGCGGAAGACAGTAGCGACCGTGGCGGGGTTGTTAAAGCCGCGCAACCCGCGCGCAACACGAATGCCAGCGCCGCGACTACGGTGAGAGCGAGCACTACTTCTGAGAAAGTGACGTCGGTGCTTGAATGAGTCCATGATTTCGATGAGGGGCGTAAGTTTGTGAGTTCGGCGGGAAGCGTGTGTTCGGTGAGCTCATGAGTTCGTGAGTGAGGACTTGAGGGTGAGTGAGGCCGTGAGGGGGGAGGGTAAGTGAGTTTTTAACTTTTTATTTTGAGCTAGCTGCGAATGAGTTCAACCAAATGCCGACCTCTGCTGCTTAGACAAGAATTCAAGCTTGTGCCTGTGCGAGCAAACTCACTTGTGCTTGTTTTCCTCGTAGTTTTTCCCGAAGAGTTGCATTCCCATTACGGCAAAGATGAAGATGATGATTCCTAGGACGAAAGTCAGGTTCCCCAGGGCACCGATGGTTTTCCCCATGATAGAGATGAGCAGGTTCAGGGTAGGCCACGACTTGGCCAATTTGAAGACACGTAGCTGGAAGCAGCGCACCATGTTAACAGGGGCGCCATGTTAAGGAGGCACACAATGTTAAGAGGCACACCATGCGAAGAGTCGCATCATGCGAAGACATGTAGCTGCAAGCGGTGAACCTTCTCAACCGACGCACTATGTTAAAATGCCCACCACGTTAACCTTCAAAACTTATTTACTGGCCCCATGTTCATTGGCGCACCATATTTACCGCCACATGTTAACCGGGGCACCATGTTGGCCAACGTACAACGTCAACCGGCGCTCTATGTTAACCGGCGCACAATGTTAAGCGACAAACCATGTTAACCGGCGGACCATGTGAACCGGCACATGTTGACGGCACAAAATTGGGATCGCTGTGGTTTCGTTGGGTTATGCCTTGTTAATAATTTTGTAGCTAATCAATTCTTGCTGTGCGACCGTTGCATCTGCACTGCCTTGCTAGCCAGAAACCAGTTCAATCACATATGTGTGAGCGTGTGGCCCGGCTTCTCGCTTTGAACCTCAGGGGCAATTAGGTAAGGCGCATGTTGCTTCTCTTGTTATAGACAAACTAAATCAGTCACTAGAAATAATGCTTCAACTGAGGTACTGCGGTGAAATAAACTAATGCCGAGGGTGACACTCGAATAAACCTTGATGGTAGGGAACATGTCGAACTGGAAACTAGAACTGGAAAGACCCAGGGTCAGAATTGAATACGATTTTGCAGCGATTACAATGTCAACAATGTCAAGCTTGTTGAACATTGAATGTTTCTCGCCATGCAACTAATAATTGCTGAAATAAAAAAATAGCAACAGGTGTTATTCGCTTAAAACTGCTTTGAGAGACTCTCAGTTAGTGGTTAGTAAAGCGCAGTTCACCATGACTTCTATATAGAATCTGTCTGCATAGCTTTTAGGTTTTCACTATATTCGTCTATTTGAACCATGCTACGCTAAACTTACACATATTAGTGTGGCCGAGACATTCTTGTAGCTGCTCTGGTTGGTTAGTTGGTAAGATAGAATTTTAACTTGTTAAATCACAAAGGCAAAGTAAAAAAAAGAAAGAAAAGGAATGACTTTGTATGTTCTCTACAAGCACCTCCTAGATCCCAAGGTAGTAGTGCTGAATTTTCTTTGCCGCGTGCCAGAGACTTGCAAAGGACAAAGCTTGGTCACGAGAGCTGCGCCAGCGTTTGGCGGAAGTTTTTGTTCAATCAGTGTAAACACGAGTCGCGGCCTAACGCTGATGGTGCGTTCGTATCCAATCGCCATCTGGTGTTGACTTCCGGTAAGGTACTGATAAAATCCAGCAAGTCGGCCTCGTTGCCTAGAAGGGGCTAGCTTTATGATGTGGTGGACATTTTTCCAGAAAAAAATACGGACACTCACCAAACGGAATGAACGTAGTACAGACAATCCTTGGACGTTTTCCAAACCTAGTTCGATCAGGGAGAGCGCGACGATGAGGAAATCGAAGATGTTCCAGCCTTCGCGAAAGTAGTTTTTTGGACTCATGGCCATCAACTTCATAGCAGCTTCTATCGCGAAGGTCGCGGTGAAGAACTGCAAGGGGAAAGAAAGGAACACAGGCGAAGAAAGAGAGAGACAGTGAGGCAAGTAGGAACTTCGTACGCACTCGAATCTTTCAGAACACAAAAACATCTGCCTTGCGACCTAATCTTTCACTTCCCAACAAAAGTTTCTATCTTGTTACTTCAATGAGCACGCTGATTCAACACTGCACAATTCATAATAGTTGACTTTTGTCAAGATGTAAATAAATCCATTTCTCGCGCAGCGATACTAATAGGATGCAATAATTGTGCACAAAAGAACGTGGTCAAAAATTCTACTGAATTCTACAAACTACTAAACTAGATAAACAGAGAGGCAGATGAAAAAAAAGTAATAGTATGCTACGAACGTAAGAGCATCTCGGCATCCATCCACATCTTCTCTTCTTGGGCTTGGCCGATTCTTGAGGGCAGAGCTGGCGCCCGAAACTTACCGGTGCAAGTCATGCAACTTGGCTGCTCTTCTCGAGAACAAGCAGCGAAAAGAAATGTGTGCATCGGGCCTGCTCAACATAAAGGCATTTCATCCGTTCAAAATGGCTCTAATAATTCTAAATGAGAACAGCTCTACAGTCATGCAGCTATATAGCGTGGTCTGCGGGGGGTGCTGCCGCCACTCCTGGAACTACGAAAGCAATAAAAAATGCAGAAATGTGCGGCATTCAGACCAAGAACAATAACTGAATCGTAATGAATCTACAAGTATCTGACAAAACCCCCCACTCTATAGAAAATAAAAGACCATTCAGAATTTCGCAACTTACACGAGGCAAACAGCTGTCCATTTCTGGTCACAGACGAAGAAAAATAGGCTTGTGGAATATTGTTTACAACGAAGGCAATGATGTCCAATCGCGAATATGAGCACGCTGACAACTTTTTGGCGTTGCTCGAATATGGTCTAGTCCTCAATGACATGTCTTATATGTGAACGGTAATAGATGGCTGTTTGCCAGAAGAAATTCGCCACAAAGAGGCCCTACCCAGATGCTGACTACACTTGAACAGAAACAGGGAAGGAAAATAAATACATATAAAAGAAAAGAGCAACACAGAACGTCTCCGGAGACGTGTGGTATCCCTTACTTTTATCTGTCTTTTTTTTTTTCCTGTCTCAGGCTAAGTTATGTCAACTTTTCACCAGCTCGCCTGCGAGCTCAGCCTTCTTTCAGTCCTAGACAGAACTTGGTTTGTTTTTTAGCACTCCTAAACTTTCTTAGCTGAGCCTCGACACTTGTAAACTTTATGAAAGCAAATTTACAGCATAAAATATGAGAAAGCTTTCTTCTTGAGATTGTTAAGAATACGGGTGGTTGGTCTCTTTACCCAGTCACTTATACTCACCATTCGCAATTGGAACCATTAAACGCCACCCGTATACGTGCGCGTGCATCATAATTACACAGAAAATAAGGTAAACTTTAGCTTTCGTGATGGCCTAATGGTTTAACCAGCAACAATCGTCACCTTTCATTACGTTGTATCTTGTACAAAATTCGCATCCAAGCTATTCAGAGTATGTATTCAATTGCAAGAGTTCTATAAAAAGAGAAATATCCTAAATTTCGCAAATAACTTCTCAATGAGATTGCTTTTTAAAATAAACAGCGTCTTGAGTTGTGAATCTGAGTAAAAACTTTGGTCCGGTAAAGTAATCAGACCATAAGTTTTACGAAATAAAGAGCCAAATTAATGTTTTTTTGCTTCCGCGCGATCAACACTAGAAATGACATGCTTCAAGTTGCCCCATGCTTAAAAAAAAATCTAGGAAAGCAAAAAAAAAAAAAACAGCCTGAGGGGCAAATGTTTTAAAAACCATGAAGATACGGCCACTTCTCGAAATTCCCAAAGGATTTCTTTGACGATTAATCAGTGGTACGACCAGCACTTGGGCCACGTCGGCAGCTGCGACCACACCACTAAGAAAGACGTCGAATCCCGACGTGGGGACCACAAAAACAAACTCAAGAGAAAGAGAAGCACCACGACGAAAAAGAAAGAGGTTGGGCACCGGAGGGGGAGCACTACACTCGGTCGTGGCGGAGGCTGCGCCGGCCGAGACGTAAGCTGGGCACACTTACGTAATTCCCCTTTTTGAGGACATTGTCAAAGTCTTTGTCCATGTCGTGATGATCCATGGCCATAAAGAGCGTGTTGACCACGATGCATAGAGTGATGAAGAGCTCCATGAAAGGGTCAAACACGATGAGTCCGAGTATCTCCTGGATCCTGATCCAGTACCAACAGCAGTCCCACACGCAGAACATGTCTATACACTTCAAGCAATTGGCCATGCACTTCTCTTTGAACTTGGGCCGCTCCTGCTCCTCCCTTTCTGTGGGGAAATAATAGATGGACACTGAATAATGTTTAAGCATGGCCGCAGGTGAGCCCGTGGGCAGTTGGTGCTAGAGCCACTCGGCAGTCAACAGGGTACCGCGCTTGGTGTTTATCTTGGCCGAGTCCTGATTGGTCGGCAGGTGCCGCCGCCATTGTCGCGGCCCAATTTGTAACAAAGATGCGGCAGTGACTCGCATTACGTAAGGCTGCGTAAGGTATCATTCGGGGCCCGCGTGGTTACCAAGGGACTCGATGTTCGGTGTACTCCGGCCATTCTAAAGGTGACTCATCCGCGTACGACTGAACGGAGAACGTTCCATGGATGTACGGGACGTCTGCGTCAACCTGAAGCAATGCCATCGCTTGTAGATTAATGGCATAGTCTAATGCAGATGCGCTCACACGTTTCGATATCAAGGAACAGTTTTGAACGAAAGCAGAGAAACCCTTCAACCACCTGGTATTATTGAAGTTAAGCAGTGTACGACTGTACAGACTTCATTCGCAATAACGTATGCATCGAGGAGCGTTTGGCTCGTGAATAATATCAAGGATAACTCAACTAGAGTAAGAGAGAAACGTTTTGCACATGCATCTGGAAAATCGAGATAATTTGAGAGTTCTGCATATCCCTGAGGGTTCTTTTGAAGCCACTCTGTTCCAAGAAATCAAGTTTGAGAACCCATAATATATGCTCATATTGAATGAATTAGTCTACTGTTTATATACTATGGCCAAATAGCCAGATACCCTAAGAAAGGTACACAAGATGAGAACATAATTTTCAAAATTTCTCATCAGATAACCCTTTTTAATTACAGTAGTTATCGACTAACGGCTGCGAATATAAAGGGTCTTCTAGAGGATTGGGGCATCGCATGGTAATGCCGGATTTACAAAGTAGAATTCCACCCACTCAGCCATTTATGGGTTGCTTTTGACCCACTACTCTGATAACTGAGTGCTTACGTTTCAAGAAAAAGTTTCATAGCTTTTATGCTCCTTGAGAAAACGTTTTGCATGTATTTCTTTTTTGGCTACATATGTCAGGAACAGTGTTTGTGGAGTTGTGAACCGTCGTATCTCATTGTGATTGGTCGCTGCGTCCATCCAATCGTACCGGAACGAACGGGTTCGTTTTAAGTTTGCGGTACCCTGCAAATGATCGAGTGACTCTAGTTGGGGCGTCTAACGCCACCATCTAGGGGACAACGGCCACACCAGGCATCACACGAGGGGCCCGTTGCGAGCAGGTCACAGGCAGGAACATGGGGGCAGGCTTCAGGTGCACATTGGAGCGAAGGCCCTGGCTGAGTGACGCAGACCCTTTGAATTCACAGTAGCATTGTGTGATGGAACTATTCATATCCCCATAAGTAGGGTGGCGTGTTTTTTTCCATATAGGCTGTGGTTTTTGTGTTTTTTACCCTAGGTTCGGTGTTTATTGGGGCTTCTGTTAAAGAAAATGAGACTCGGGGGACGGATTTGCCAACGTACAGGGAATATACGCAAGACACGTACCCTTTGAAAACACCCCGATAAAGAAAAGAGAAGGAAACAAAACAGGGTTTATGAATCCCAAAGAAAGAACCGGCCTCGAAGACAGAGCACTGCGGGCCGTGTTCCGGATCGAGACGAAATAAAACTGTGGATCAAGATTTCTTCCAGTAAAATTTAAATGTATTTTATTGGAGGACAGCACATATTCGGGTTTTAATGTAGATGCCGAAAACTCGTGACCCTAGCCAAGTGCAAAAAACTGGCCAAGGGGCTATATAAGTATTATTGCCAGATATATATCGCCAATGGGTTGTGAGTCTTTCACATGCCTACTCATGAAAAAAAGAGGCAGTAAAGAACGATGAGGCGAAGCTTCAAAAAGATGTGGTAGCAACTTGAGCGACGATTACATTTATCTTAAAATGCTATCTTGCGTACGACGGTTTGATCGATAGGTCAAAATACAGCGTCAAATTTTTAAGTTGTTTCTGTTTTTTTGCTTTCTTCCATTGTTGGTAATGGCACCTGACACTATTGTGTTGGAGTAGGGAAGATTGTTGTATTATCCGCCGCTCTGCCAAGGCCCCTGGCACCATTTGGCAATCAAAACCAAACCGGCAATTCAAAAAACAGAATCACTCCATCACCAGGGCAAAATAAATCCTAGCAGACCTTGCACATGCCTATACAATTCAAACAAAGTATGTAGCAAAACCCACAGTACGCACTAAAAGGCACCTGTGGTACCGGCATGCCAGTATGGGTATTTCTATTTTGATAAAAGAAACACACTCGGGAGACCAAACTGTGGCACGCACAAGCAACAGTACAGTTCAACGGAGTAGAGTACCAGACATTTCTGCACGTGACCCGACGCGTCTTATTCTTTCTAATACAAATATAATACAGGAGCGATTGAAAATGGGGCCAGTTGGTTTATCATCCTTGAATGAACAGCGCTGCTAAGGTTTTAACAGAAACTTTAGGTTGTATATGTACGTCAAAACATCAACGAGAAAGTGTTTAAAAAATGTGTAATAGAATTACTTAAAAAGACACCGCATCACGTGCTACACCTTCTACGTGACAAAGGCCGTAGTGCTGAATTTTCGGCATCACTTCAAGAAGGCCAACATGAGGCATATCCGAAACGAGTTCTGCGTCAGTATTCGGCTGAAGTAATTTTGCTGAGTTGGTTTCGATTGCACAGCAGGAAGTAGAGTTCGTCCGAATGTGTCTCCGCCGAAAATGAGAAACTTAGCTAGGGCTGTTTCACGGTTAGCCTTTGAGTTTTAAACGTGCATCATAGAGAAGTGATACACGTCAGCACGTAGGTACAGCTGCAACGGAAAATAGTTGGGGCTCCAATCCACACTATAAGGGTAGTTGGTCAGCGAAGCTGTGGTATCACCTGCAACGATTGCCTACTGCCCTATACGAACTGCCGCCACCGGTCGCAGCACGCCGCCGCTGGTCGTATTGCCGTTTCTTTTCCCTTTGCCGCTCCTAGTATTCACGCTGCTCCTCGGGAGTCCCGACTATGCGTGGCCTACTCCTCATGGTGCTGCACCAACAACGAATTTAGTTACTATACTCCGTTTTCTCTTACATTGAAGCGCTGCGGATGTTACGAGCCATCGGAGTCAATCGGAGGCCGTGTGAGTGTCACGTGACGTCACGTGAGCGTCACGTGACGCGCGGAACGCGTATCAAGGGCCACGTCCACAGAACAGGATTGGCTAAGATGGCTCGTAGCATCCGCTGCGTCCGGACGTAATTTGAAACGGGGTAAAGGCGGGCTCTTCTTTTATATATGAAAGGCTAGTGACGTCACTCCCTACGCCGCAAGCTGCCGTCGCCGCGGCAGCTTGGCCATCAGTAATCTTCACCGGGAACGGATGCGGTGAGCGCTACGTGCATCGCATTCTTTTCAGCAGCTCCTTATCATTCATTATATGGTTAGGATGTTTGTTTTGTGCTTATTCTTTATTAAAACGAACGTTGTGCTGTATGTTGTATGCGTGGTGTTTGTACTTTTCGCTTCAGTCTTCTGAGGCATTTTTTTCCGTGAGAACGCCGACACGAAAACACACGCGGGGAGAAGGAACGTGCTTCGCATTGTTCGCAGGCGTCGTTATACTCCATTATGCGGTTTGCACTTCACACGAGGGCTTCGAATGACGTCAGCCCCACGCGAAGCAGCTGCAAACCCAATCTTTACCGGAACTCGCTGAAGGGTATTCCTATTGTTCACACGCGCCTTCTCATCTATCATTGGGTTTTGATGCTTGTTTTGTTGGTGCTTGTTCTGTGGTTTTCTTTATTGAAACGGATACTGAGATGTATGCTGTATGCCTGGTTTTAACGGGAGATATGCTGTTTTGCCTTCAATTGCTCGCCGGGAGTTTTTTGCTTACAACGCCAACGACACGAAAAATTTCTTGGCTGGTAGAGGTATACAGATTCGCTATATAAAAAAAAAAAATAAGCACAAGTGACTGACGACCGGAACGCCAAAATCGCGACACGTGGCGCTATTGTTCCCGAGCGCGCCGATAGCGAGAGTGTCAGTCACGTTCCAAGTCTCAACGCGGAAGTGGCTGGCAGAAAGCAGTCCATCCTAATGCTCGCATTTCGAAAGCTATCTTATCCCTCAATTTTCTGCCGGCAACCTCCGTGTTGAAACATGTCATGTGACTGGCACTGTCTCTATCGGTGAATGATCGGGTTGCGATTTTGTTGCTCCGTTTATCGGTCACTTGTGCTAAACGTTTTTTGCTGCAGCTGTACGATGCTCATCCCAACGGGCAGGGGTGAGGATTGAACCCAGGATCTATGGCTTTGTTTTTGTCTGAGTGTCCTCTTCAATCAGTGAGAACCCAAACCCCTGCCGATCGCGGACACAGCACTCGTGACCAACGCGAGCCTCAAATTAAAAGTTTTCAGATGACGCCGAAAGTTCCGCACTATACTTCGTTTCACCTTAAGTCCAGACGCAGCCGACGCAACGAGGTAATGGGACGACTCAAGCAGCGCCAAAAGCGCAAGTCACTAAGCCTTTTATGATTAGTTCAGCGATAATAGAACACGTGCAAATACACGACGAACAGCATGATGGTGCGCTTTGGGCGCTGAATGATTGGTGACGTCAGCTCGTGCCATCACCAAGATACGTGCCATCACCAAGACACGTGCCATCAGCAAGACAAGTACCATCACCAAGACACGTGCCATCAGCAAGACAAGTACCATCACCAAGACACGTGCCACGTGCACGTGCCTTGGTAGCCACGGCAGGTTCGGGTACTTTTTTGTGGGTAAAGTGAAATGGTGGTGGATTATTTTTTTATATTTCACTTGCCTTCCCTTCCTCTTCTTTTCATTTTTGATTTCCCCCTTCCCCCATTTGTCCATTCGCTGTAGTGCGAAAGGAAATATAAACATTTGATTTTACCCTTCTTCACTTGAGGTACAAGCGCTACCGACGCTACGAGCCAATGGGGCAAATAAAGTTTATCGGAAAGCAGAAAATAATGGCTTTTTTATGTTTCTATGCGCATGTTTCTGGCAACTGGTGATATCAAGCACCAATAATGAGTCGTGACGGCCTCTTTTTGGTCTGTGTTTGTGTTTGTGCTGCAACTACTAGCTTGGTCCACTCGGACTTAAGCTGAAACGAAATGTAGCTTGTGCTTACTTGTTTATGTCATGTAGTTTCTTAGTCCCAGTGTCGTTTGATGTTAAAACCTTAGCAATGTCAGACTCTTCATTTTGTCGCAACCATCTGCATGGCCATAATGCCCTAATGTCGACTTCGACTCACTGGCACTACCAAGGTCTCATGCAAGGAGCTCTGGTACCCGTTCCGAACTACGCTAGGAGAACTCTAGTGGGGTGGTGGGGTGCGGGCACCGCACGCACTCGGTCTCCCAAACAGAGCAGACGCATTCAACACTGCACAGGGGTCTCGAGGGGTAGTGACACACACACACGCGGGGGAATGGCACACGGAGTTGATAGGTACCTCTTTCGCTGGCCTTGCTCTGGCGCCCCGCGGCTTGCTCGATGATGTCGTTCAGCACCATCACATCTGCAATGTCACAAGTGGTCTGTCATACATCTGACCATGTCGGAAGAGTTTGCTTATAAACCCACACGCTGCTGTTTACGAACAGGTCAGCGTAGGGCACACCGGGTTTAGGACCCAGCACGTGCGCGAAAGCTGACCAGAGGAAGCCGTCTCGGGGAATGCGTTTGCTCCACAACAACGCACCGGCGACACATGCAGCTTCCATAACACCTCCAAGATAAGATCTAGGTGCGGTTGGCTATACAGAGCGAAAGTTCGTTTGCTTCTTACACAGGGCTTGCGATGATGTTAGAACGCCAAGCTCTTATTGGCTGATAAAAACAATAGTGGGTAGACCTCGAGGCACCTAGCATTGAGGCCTACCCACTATCCTTCCAATCAAAGCCCACCAGAGCTCGGCGTCGTTCTGACGTCACCTCAAGACTTGCGGGAGAAGCAGACGACTTGCTCTACGCATAGTCACCGACAGCCTATGAAAGACATGGCGCGGCGACGGGCCTCGTGCATCTCATCGTATCTCCGCAGTCAATGGGATTGCAGCATCAGTCAATAAGAACCCAGAGCAACAAATTACAAAGAAAGAAGCGTGAAGTGAATGTACCATATCCTGCGTTTTTTCAAGATGTTGGTGACTATATAGACTACTTGAACTCTCTGACGTCACATCACTGCGCAGTCGCTACTGTCGGCAGTGCGCATGCGCAGATACTTGGCCTCGCGTGAATCTGGTTTCTGCGCACTTGCGGTGCCCGCATCCGGTCTGGGCAAACGCGTTCCTGCTGGCAAAGAGCGCGTTGGTGTATTATAGGCCGTCAACTTCTGCCTTTGCCGCCGTATTTATCCGCCCTGGCACCCACTGACCTCAAGCCTTCTTCCTCTCACGAAGAACGCTATGCGCTGCAAGCGTTTACAGTATGGGTCTCAAACTCATTCGAGTGTGGGGGACCAGATACCCCCCTCCCCATCTCAAGAGGACGGGGCCAAAAGGGGTGGGGGGGGGGGCAATATTCTGTTCTTTTCGGGCAAAGAAAAAAAAAAACTAAGCAAAGAAACATAATTCGTGTTTCGCGTTGCAAATCGGACGACTGGCCCATCGAAACTCCAGATATTTTCAATACAAAAAACCTAGTGCTTTCTTTATTTTTTTGAAGCTCATCGTTTTGCCCTCTTTAGCTTTCGTTTGCATATACAACTACTTTGGGCCCACACCTGATGTTATAAAATATTTAAAGCTCCACCATTAAACAGTACTGCCAGTTTTCAATAGAACGAGACCAAGCAAACAGGCACAGCAAAAAAAAAAAAAAAATATTTCTTCATAGAAAGTTTTTGCTTTCCTAAGCATTTTAATAGCAGCATTATAAGAAAATACTTTGATCTTTTAAAGATATTGTCTGACAGCTAGAAGCCCGAGCTGATAGCTTTATCTTTGGCCGTTGCCTCTTCTAAGTAAGATTTTTTTATGTGCCTCTTTGAGAAAGTAGCTTGCACTGGTATACCCTAGTAGTGGTACTGCCTTTCCGGTTCATACACGTGAAAGGGCTGAGAAGCAATACTTTGTCCAAAAGAAATCAAAATACTGCAAAATTCGTGAACAGAGCACAGCTCCTTTTCGAGGGGAAAGCAATCGTATATAAAACTTATTTATGGCGCATGTGGCGCTCTAGACATGGGAACATTTGCTCGCAGCCACGGGGGGCTGGTGGGCCACATGCTAGAGAGTTACGGGCCGCGTGCGGCCCGCAGGCCGTGCGTTTGAAACCCATGATTTAGAGGATGATGAAGAGAACATTGTCGAAAGATGAAACACTTGTTCAGTGCGAAAATGCAGACTTCTTTCGGCCCGAGCATCTGCCAGCTCACCACCGGCGCTCGTGATCGCAGCTTTTTTTATGGTATTAAAACAAATTTTATGAACGCCTCTCGCATACAATTTGGTAACAGACTCGAGTCGAAGGAGATGAAAGATATAGACGTGTACACAAAGCCATACAGCACCTCTGTCAAGTTTAGAATGAACTGCATCCGTTGGAAAACTTTATATGGGAAAAAAAAGCTGTCTGCCAACCTATTTACTAGGGTTGTGCGAATATTCGAAATTTTGAATAGTAGTTCTGAATAATACACTATTCGATATTCGCTTCGAGAAGAACTTCACTATTCGCGTTTTTCAAAGTGTTGATTGCGGTGGGTTAGCCCCTTTTGAGTGCGCTTCTTACCAAGCACTGGTGCACTGCGGAGAAGCAATACCCGCGGAAGCAAGCTCCACGGGTGTTGCTTCTCCACATTACATCGGTGCTCGGTAAGAAGCGCACTCAACGGAGTAACCCGCCGCGACAAACACTTGGAAAAGTATGAATATCGTAGTTGCGTGCTTGGACCATACGTTCAAAGCGAGGTGGTGCACGCGTGCCGGCTGTGTATGAAAATAAATGGAAACTTTGTGAATGTGTATGCTGTAAAACCCTTTATTTTCGGGGCCCCTATTTTTCGCGAATCGGTCACAGAGGACATATCGCGGCCACTAAATTTCGCGAATTCCAGGGACCTGCATTGAAATTCTTTAAGACAGAATTTTTCTCGTGCCTTTAAGTTTCGAAAATTTTTGAATTTGCGAAAATTAAGGGCTCGCGAACATTAAGTGTTTTACAGTATCTACATTGTAGTAAAAAAGATTTAAAATTAAACTGACTGTTTTGCAAGAGTATATGTCGGGCAGAGGTGCCCTTACAACCTGCATTCATCATGCGCGAGTCATTCTTTTTTAACTCGAAATTAAGGAAAGAATATTAAAGATTTGTAAATTCACTAAATTGGGTATATTTGGCCATTTCCATTGGATTCATTTTATTACAAATTTGTTGTTTACTTACCACCCCAAGACATCAGACCTTCTGAGGTCACAGTTCATAAATATAGATAGATTAAACTTGGCTTATAAACGAACAGGTGGAACTACCTTCAGAAGTTTCGCTGGGGTTTTGTCTAAGCATTATGTTTGGTAGTGAAAGGCTTGGAAAAACTATTCGATATTCGATTCGAAAATATTCGGCCAAAACCAATATTCGCTTCGAATTCGCTTCGAACTCAAAATCCACTATTCGCACAAGACTACTATTTACGTTTGTTTTGTAAAGCAATGCTGTGAAACTGAGCGGGCTTGAGATAACAGTGCACGTCGCATGTTAGACAATTGTAGTGGTTGTTTGAATGACAGTGCAGCACCTTGAGATTAATTAACAAATATAGAAAATTTTATGTTACGCTAATGAACGACGATAAAAGTTTGCGTAGTTTTTGCCTTTATATTTTTATAACAGAAACAAGATACCGACATCTGCTTTTTGGTACCTATTTTAGAGTTCTTGAAAACATAAGCCAAGCTTGATCGCGCATACCCGGTCTGTGGAACTTCGTAGCCGTCGCATAATTTTGCGTTCACCTCTTGTCCTTACCGAGTAGACGAACGTTTCATCATGCAAGTAGTTTTGTATATTCGTGCGTTAACAACTTGCGAAACATGGATTCATGCTCTTCGGCTAAATGTGCTGCGTGCTGCTCAGTTGTGGACAAAAACGACAATAGTCCCTAAGAGCTTAAGGAACACAGGGGCGACTTAGTGCAAGGATGTCCACGCCTCTTGTCTTGTGAATGGTTCTTCTGTATCCTTATCGGCAAATGTCGAAATCTGGCTGGTTGCGGATCTTGAGCCATTAGTACCTACAGAGTGCGTCAAAGCGTTTGCTTGGCCTCATGATATCACCAGGTCTACTAGCACGACGAAGTATCTCTTAAACTTACCTTCAACACTCGCGTACGCATGTTGCACACACTACTGCCGATCTTTGTAACCAGGGTCGGCGAAATTGCATTCAGTCCTTCTATGGACTCTGACCGCTTAAGAAACTCAGAGCGTAACTTTGTGGATATGGAGGGATAATACGATGCTCGGCACTTGGCGTGCCCCGAGTTTTTTAAGTTGGCAATAATCAAGAAGTATTTTTTTTTCTGATATAGCGTACATGCAAATCAAAGGGACTTGCCTTTCATGTCTACGAGGCCTTGCCTCTGCGACGGCTCGACAAAAGGGTTGTCTGGTTGCTTCTTGACAGCCAGGCATTCCTCTCCATCCAGAGGCATGTCCTGTGGTGGGAAAGATGTGGACGAATTTGTGTGCATTAATTTCGGATTGATCTATCTTTTCACGTGGATCCACGTTTATCACGCTTGCACGTTCATTTTGCTGAAGTCCCCCTATTGGCGTCATAACCTCAGTATAAAATGATGAATATCGGAATTACTGTTTAATATGGTACAGTTGAAGTGAAATAGTGTATTGTTTTAGACATGGTGATGCACAAATGTGGATTATTTCTAATATAGAAAGACATCAAAGTGGGTTACATGGTAAGCCCGTTACTATCACAACCCATTCAACTTGAAGTCCGGTGTGCTAAGCAGTTCTAGGTCATCGTTTTTGTTGTTTTATTTTATTCAGTTTTATTCGCAAGTGAAGACTGACAGACATACTACATCGTTAAAAGTGCGCACGCATAATAAATTTTTAACTTGGTATGACAGCATTCATGACCTACAAGCCAACGAAATGAAATGGGTTTTGCTAACTAGTGCTTTCCTATGCTTGGGGACAACCTTTCTTGGCAATAAAGCCAACGCTTTGGGCATTTTTGCTCTCTCGAGCCCATCGAACGCAAATTTCAGTTCTGCTCGCTCGGTCTTCACTTGTTCGAGAATGTCAGAAAAAGTTTTCCTCGAGATTAGAACCCTTTTTTCAGTTGTCGGAAATTGTTGCGAACTATAATAAAGTTAAAAAAAAGTTAAAGCAACGATGCAAGTATGCTTGTTATATCGGTGAAAAAGAATATGGAGGGACATCCACAAACCCGTATCTATCCAATGGTTTGAAGTTGTCTTTTTTTTTTTTTTGCCCCTACTCTACGCGGTTACACTCGTTGTAAAAAAGTTGTTGTGCTTCTAATTTTGCGGCTTTTTTTGTTGGGTTCTGAACAATGGCTAAATAAAAAAGTATAACCAATGCGCAACATTCATTGCTCATGGCACCCCAAGAAACAGAATGATGTGGGACAAAACCAGAGTGCCATGCAGAGCATGCATCTAAAGCATGACTGTAATTGGGCAGTTCTGAAGCTTTGTTTTCATGGACAGCACAGTGGTAGAAATGACTGCTCCAGATGTGGTGTTTCAGCACGAACTGCCCCTCCCTCCCGTCTTCATTGACTCTATATTCTGTAATTTTCACTTCAGCATTCTTGACCTACCAAAGTTTATTCACTGCAAATGATTATACCTATCTGCAAGTGCACTATGAATGGTGTGAAAACGTGAACGCAAGCTGCATTGTGGCACAACTCAAGACCAAAAAACGTGTAGCAACGACAAACACGAAGCAAGTGTGGTGGACGCCCAAGAAAGATATTGCTGGTGTTCGTTCTGTGCTACGAAGAAGGTAGGAAGGTGTCAGGGTGTGTTACGGCAGGTGCTTCAATAAAGAATAATCGGCTAAATCACAGAACAGCAGCCATGGTGTTCTTTGAATACATAGCTTATTCAGTATACTATTCCTAAAAAAAATTCTTTTTTTTAAGGATAACGTTGGCTGACGTCCCGAGATCTAGCAGGGTATTGGTTTATCCCGTCTGTCCTTTCTTGCTAGTTCACTGGTCTCAAGTTGAATCCATGCTAGTTGCTCTTCCCAGGTTCTCTCGAAGCGTTTAAGAAATCTATTGCCCATTTCACCTTATCAATGACCAACGGATCTCCCACATGAAGGTAGACACGAAACGTGTAGGGAGTATGTGCGTATGGGTAGAAATTTGTTCTGATTCCTCGACTAGTTCGGGCAACTGTGAACTGCGCTAACACGCTCATTTGCAGGGGTCGACCGGCAAATCTAGCCGATGAAGACAGCGACGCAACACATTTGCGTCAGGCTATGGGATGCTGCGGCAACACTTCATAGCTACCAACGCCGCAGCGTCAGCGAAGACACGAGTTCCAGCCGAAATGCTGAGGCAGTATTGGTGTCCAATATGTGTCCTGAGCTGGACGCTTGTCGGTGACGCGAAATTTTCAGAGCTACGACACTGCCATCTATATACTCCGTTTCACATTAAGCCTGACCGTAGCCGACGCTACGATTCGGTTCAGCCAATCAAAAAGTGCGAAAAGTGTATCGTCACGGCGTGCGTTCGTCGTCTTGCTAGTTTGTTATTGCCGGATAAACCAATCATGCAAAGAAAAAAAGCCCAGGACCACGGGGCTTGCACCTTGCGTGACTTGTTCAGCCGGGAACACCAAACGCACAAAGACGATGGACTACGTGACAACCACTTTTCGACGCAATTCAGCTCAATCGTTGCGTCTGGTGCGGACGGACGTGGAGTGAAACGGACAAAAGGAGGTGTTGGTCAGTGCCAAGGTGAAATGGAGTGTTTCCGTAGCAGGCTTGGCAGGGCGGGGTAGAGCGAGCGAGTGAGAGAGAGAGCGAGAGAGAGAAAGAGGCGAACGGAAAGAAAGTTGGAAAAGAGTCGAGAGAGAGAGGAGATAAGAAAGGCCCGAGAGACCTCGTAGTAGTAGCATCCTTGCAGGTTTCGCGAGCGCGAGCGCAGCTGGCTCTCCTTGGTGAGTGCTCCCGCAGCGCCACCAGCGCCGGCGCCCCGGCAGAACAGGTCACCGGCTCCGTGGGAGGTGTACGACAGGCGCGACGAGTGGGAGGTGTAGCTGGAATGTCGCGACGCCAGGCTGGCGTACATGGGCAGCAAGATGGCACCCCCATTGTCCTCGGACATGGGCGTGACGGCGTTGCTGTCGTCGGCGTACGGCAGGTGTTCTTGCGCGTCCCTGTAAGTCTGCAGGACGAGGGGCTTGCGATCGCCCAGGCGGCGTCCGTTACTGCGCCAGCTCACGCTCAGCTGACTACCACGGCTGCCCCTTCGGAGGTTAAAGGGCGAGCCGGGTAGGCTCAGGCTGGCCTGTGTGTGGGGGGAGCGTGTGTTGGAGGTGGACAGACGTTTAGGGGAGGGAGTGAGGTGACAGGATGGAGAGGAGGAAAAAAAGAGGGGAGAGAAAGAGAGACAGAGAAGCAGGGAGTCAGATGCGTGGATAGCACTGGCCTTGGCGTTACCTCCTGGATTGTGCTTTGGTGAGAGAGTAATTTAGCGGCCATCTTCCTGCTGCCGATACCACGCTCATGACCGCCGTCTTGGCGTCAGGAGTTGGTGGATAATACTCGGAGTAGACCCTTTTTAAAAGTTCATCAAGTGACTCGGGCAGCCAACATAATTTGGTCATCGCTTCCTGGGCGAAGCGTGCGATTTGATCCGAGTCCTTGCCGGGCGTTGACGCAGCACTGGGGCTCAAATGTGAGACCAAGGTGCATTCCCTAAACTATGGCGGCCTTGGATAATCTGCACAACAGCTACTGGAGGGCGGGAACATTTTGAAAAGGGTATATTTTGGTGCGCGTAATCTGGTTGATTTGAGGCTTTCGTTTTAGAAGAACCTGGGCGCCCGAAGCATAATCCAGGAGATATGTAGAGGTCAGTGGTGGGAAGCAACGACACAAATGACTTTTTCATCTTCCCCGAAGTATGTGTATGTGTGTGGGTGTGCGCGCGCTAGGAGAGTGAGCGCAACAGAAGAGAAGCGGCGGGTGACAGCGTGGTATGCAATGAAAAAAAAAAAAACTACTGCCAACATCAACAAAAACAGATTGAACAAAACTGCTGGCTTTTTTATTGCTGTTGCTATAAACTGTGAATGGTGGACTTGGGGTCTTAAGTTGCTCTGCGGGTGGATGCTATCCAATTTTATTTAACACATATTTAGTTGATACCAATTTGTGGCAAACGCAATGAAGGTTTTGCCCAGCACGGGAAGCAAACTACAGATCGATGTACTCACTGCCAAGCTATCTGCCAAGATGGGCTATTGCACAAGTTTTTTTAGTGAAAGTGTGCAAGAGGTCCTCAATAGGCTCTTGCGGGCTCCTATGACTCGTGAACGATGGCGTGGAAAGCTATTGTAGCTCTTGGACTCAGCATTTATTGAGATCATTATACGGTTCGAATGAAAGCACATTAGAAATAATTTTAGCCAGCAACAACATATTATCTCAAGTATTGAACGTTTTAAAAGCAATTGTCAAGGAAATCAGAAATAAAAAGCACCCCTCTGCGAATCGCCAAAATTAGTCTAGTTAAAAAAAAAGAGAAAAAGAAAAACAGAAAAAGCCTTTATCAGGGAGACATTAAATTTCTCAGAATAGGTTTGTATAATCCAATTATCCAGCTGTACGAGCACGCACACTCACACACACGCATACACACTTTTCTTTTGTTAAACCATGGCCAAAATCTTTCCATATGATGCCGCTACCCTTCCAAGCCGTATTCAATCACATGTGGACATAATTCATAAGAAGTGTTTGTATCAACTTTCTCGCAACCAGAATCATATTCTAATCAAAAGCTGTGGTGTCTTTAAAACATAGCATGATAGGAATCTAAGAAACTCAACCCAGAGTAAAACGGGGAAGGAAGGTAGCACGTGTGAAACATAATGCGAAAACGATGCTGGTTCTACGCTAACTAGAAACGAATATATGCAGGATGTCTCTCTACTCCATCTATCGGATCTACGATGGATTCCATCTACAAGGATGAACTCCTTCTACTAGTGTACTGGCCTGGGGAGGGACTGGAGCCTCGATGACAAAAGGAACTACTTCACTCGAGGAGATCCTAGTAAGAGGGAATAAGACCTGCCTCAAGTCGGAACACGAGGCCCCCTGGTGACTACGTGGCGAAGGAGGGTTGACACGTCGAAGACGACGACGGCGTGGGCGTCGAAACATTATCTCGTTACTTACCGGAAGGGCGAGGAAAAGAAGGGGGACCAGTGTCGTCTGCCTGTTCCCCGAACTCGCACCGCGTGTGCGACCGTGGTGCGGGGGAGTCAAAACGCCATCGTCATCACCTTTTCCCATTTAGTGATGCGCTGCAAGAACATCCGGGCAACCTGGGGGCGTTGAGCAAACATGCGGGGAAGGAGAACAGACAACCTCTGCCAGGTTGTGAAGCGGTTCAGAGGCCGGCACAAAAAGAAAGAAGATAACAACAAAGGCTCGTAACACGCAGCTGCCGCGGAACGCGCTCAAGAGGGAAGGGTACCTCAGAAGCCGGGAAGCACATTGAGTGAGGCGACCATTTGTCCGAAGAAAATCCAATTAGGCCGCAGTTGTCCTAAGCACGCGTGCACTGTCGTCTCTCGTTGATATGAACGCATAGATTGCAGATAACAACTCTTCACTATGCTCCTTTTATGAAACAACGGGGTGTAAGAAGTTACTTCATACGCGACAGCAGTGGGTCTAGATGGTGATAACTTCGGCAGGACTTCTGACCTGTGTTTCGACTTTCGCCTTCCGTCACGGAAAACCACCTAGAATATTCAAAGCCCGGGAACAACCTCCTCCACCTCCTTGCAACATCATCATGACACTCGGATGGTTTTGTTGGGCACAGAACCTACAGGGCAATGCGCCGAGTGGCCTTCGGCGCATTGACTGGATGCGAAAGAGATCAGCGCTGACGAAGCGCTCGTGCTTGACCGGTAGTTACGCTCATTTCATTGTCACGACTTCGAAATGCTAGTGCACTGTCTTTGATTATTCTAGGTGGTGTTGGTCGTGGGAGGCACTCTCCCGAGGTCTGAACGTGCTTCGCGGAGTACAACTGTACTTTTTTGGGGAAGGTGGGCAGGTGGTAATCTTTCATTCAGGGTAGTATATGCGCACGCCACTACGATACACAATTATTGCGTCGTACCGCAGAGAGGTGAAAACAAAAACAAGGAAAAGTTTCTATGCTCGAAAAAAACAACAAAAAAAAAAACGGGAAGGTATGGTTAATGCGCTGCAGACTAGTTTCACGCGGAAGAAATGCAGCCGTGCACTGAGATGAAGAGGAAAGGGAAGAAATGCTCAAGCACGTATTCAGAAGAAGCAACATGCTAGAGTAAAGTTTTATATGTACTGCAGGGGAGATAAATTGAGGTAAGCAGCGCCTGTATGGTGATGAAGTGAGAACCGACACAAATGGCATTATGCATTATAACGAAAGAGAAAGGGGGAATAAAGCGACATAGTCCAGGGAAGCAAGGATGGGAAAGTGCAGTTGCATGACAGGGGCAGCCTACAGCTTGAAAGAAACTGCAGTTACTGGCTTGAGACAAGAAAACTGAAATCTTTACTTCCTTGTTATTTCTGTAGTTACACTGCATAACATAGTATCCACACAAATTGGTGCTTTGTCACAATTTACGGAAACAAGTGAAGCGTTATACTGCAAATTGGTCTAAGTGGTCGCACATGGGAATATTCCACCGCAATAAACTCTGGAATATTGTAGTTTTCTAGTACAATAAATCATGTCGGTGATTGCATAATTTGGGCTATATGAGTTTTGTTGTGCACAGAACCTACAGGGCATTATACAGCATTATAGATTAGATTTAAATCATCCACAGGTTTCTTGTTGGTGTTTAGATAGCGATTTCGTAACTTCAAATAAGCACGACACTTTAATTTGAAACTGTTTCGCGGGTGGCAGAAATACCTCTATCAACCAATCGAATCGTACAGTTTGGGAACGTGTGGCTTGCAACTAAAAATTGATAAATCGAAGAAAACTTGGCACAAAAAAATTTCTGTGCCAGTGGCCATGACTGCTGGAATAAAGGAATCTCGGAAAATTTTTAAAGTAACCAACTCTACAAATTATTACAGAAAGTATAATTATTACAAGATGCAACCGTTTTCGTAAACCCATGCTATGAGAATACCGTGTAGGAGAGCTTTCTGGTTAACGAAAACTGAATTGCTGATAATCAAACCTCCGTGTGAGAAAATTTATAGTTTTATTTGTTTTCATACAGCAATGCATTCATATCAACGAGATACGATGGCACACAGATTGGCTTGCAGAAAACGCACGGCGTATTTTGAGAACCATGACAGAAGTTAACGAACAAAAACGGTAGATAGTGTGATGTTTTAAACTCTACAGAAAGCGTCTGATTATGTTCATGCTTGAAGGTACATGCGGATTGTCTTCACTTTAAAGGCCGACGTACAGCCTATTTCACTTCTGCAAGGCAGAAAATTTGACTTTTTCATCCTCGCCCAAACTGCGAGGGTAGCGAAGAAGGGAAAGAAGAGATACAGAGAGAAGGGAATCGCTAAGAGGATGAGATCCTAATGCTCTACTAGGGTGAACACATTTCACTCCGCTTATTTGCATTAGAGAACGCGCCTGCAGCGCCCAATCCTCCCCTAGCGATGCGTGCATCTCGCGTCTCGTAGAACGCATGCGCATCGCGCAGTCTACGCTGTGGCGGAGTCACGCAGCGCCGATGGAGACGACACAAACGGTTTGCCGCGACAGCGGAGATGGTCGTCGCGATTGGCGCCCGAGATGCGCACGACGATAGACGGCGGTAGCCACCGCCCCCAATTCAAAAGGAGAAACCCCAAGGCTGATATGCATCCAGCCGTTCTAACTGCGCCAAGCCTCTCCGCTCCAAGGCCATTAGATTGTCCCCAAAGTAAGATGTATTCCCCTAGTAAAGTCTTTTAGAAGAACCATTAGGTGAGGACGTGGAAAAGAGGAAAATATAATATGGGAGGAAGATGTGCAGGTTAATGTGGGAAAGGCGAAGTGTACGTCGGCTTTTAAGCGAATTCAGCAAGAACAAAATAGACTGAAGCCCTGCATTTTTTGCAGGATTTTTACTAAGGCACTTGGAAACTTGGTAAACGTAATCGGTTTGTTCAACAATCAGATATCATGAAGCCTAGGAAACCTAGGTAATTCAACTCTAGGCACAAGAGAGCAAACACACAAGCATTCATGCCAATTTAAGGAAACAATAACGACCAGGTTATCGCCTGCTGAAGGTACTGTTCCCTCTTAAGGAAGCCGAGGCAAGCAAACGTAATATCACAGAAGCGGCAAAGGCACCGGATACAACAGTTTTACAAGCGCAGTCAAGTTTGGTAGATTGGTGACTTTCCACACAGCCGTTGCACAGGGGGTGCTGCTTGCATTGCAACGGGTGCTGTTGCACGCACGGAATCTGTGGCCGGTTGAAGTTGAATACAGCAAAAAATGACGTCACACAAAAAAGCGCAAAAAAAAAAGTTCGAGAAAGCAGAAAAAGGTCTTGCAAAAAGAAGAAGGTCGTAGGCACAAAAATGCTGGTCTTTTTGAGACTGGCACCACAAAAATAGACCAAGAACTCATTTCAAAATATAGGGCAAAAAGGATGTGCCTCCACACGATAATTGTGCAACATGCGAAAAAAAAAAAGAACTTTGCTGCAGATGTGAATAAGATCACGTTTCTAATTTCGTTCGCTGGACTAGCCGATTGAGTGCAAACAATTCAAAATTTGATTGAACAGTGATGTTTAATCGCTGTAGTGATTCAACCACAGTAACTCAATTCTTATTTTATGATGAACCTAAAAGAAGTTTCTGCCTAGCAAGAGTTAAAGAGACAAATACATATATTGTTATTTGAAAACACCGTGATGCTCAAAGAAATTGACATCGATTGCATATATGAACGGGGAAAATAGAGTTTTACAAGGAGTTTATTTTCTCAAAACCTGAGTCGTGAATTTCTAAAGAGACATTTGTTCACGTCGTGTGTAGACTGTTGCAGCAATTAAAAAAGCAAAAGTTCGCTTAATTTTTGAGGAAGCAATCCAATATAATGACAGGCTGGCAGACAGACAGTTAACAGCACAAGCAGGAGGGTGGTCAGAAGCTCTCAAGGCACTCAGGCAATGCAGCAAGCACATGCACTAAATGGGAAGGCGTCTAAGCGCCTGGCAAGGACGCATCTCTTCCGAAAATTCTGTAGGGCGGTTCCACGAAACGCCTTTTCTTTTCCGGCAAGCCGCCTTCCGCCATGTTGATGAACAGCATCAGGCACCTTAACAATCTGTTTTAGGTAGGGCTTTGTTATTTTCAAAGTTTTTGGTGTTAATGAAACGAGGAAGCATGACGAGTAGCTCCGTCAATGACAAAGCTCAGTAAGTACGTTCGGTGATGTATTTCCATTGCATAAATTCAAGTTTATGTTGATTTGTTTCCTTTCAGAGTCGCCCGGTAGGCATGAACTGGGGTCTTTAGGGTTGCCGGAGGATGACTTTTCGAATGCCGGCTCGTGTTAATTTTTAATAATGACTGGTATGTAGGAAACTCGAGCACCAGATAATGCTCCTTTTTTTCGCTGACTACTCCGGCAGACGCGGTCGAGTATTACGCTAAAAGACTCGACCGAGCTGGACAACACGTTTTCCGCGCATAGAAAGACGAAATACTTCGGAAGTTCGTCAACATAGTGTCTGGCGAGATTTTTGAGCCGGAAGTGCGTCACGTGAAACCGCCCTTTTGTCTAGGGGAACAAATCAGGTGGGACACGCGAGCTAGTAAATTCCAGGCGGTAACTTGGCAAGGCTCTCGCGGACAGTGCTGCTAGGGGCTCTATTGCCGGAGACCTCCTAGTGCGGTCAGACTGTTACTAAACTATCGGAGAAAGACGAAGATAGGGGAAGAGAGCGTCAAAGAGCTCATTCCTGAGCCGCTCTGGGACAGGACAGCTACAGAAGAAAGCAACGGCAGTCGGAACAATCCTCTAATTCCATGGCAGTTGGGGCATCTATGATGCTTAGGGTTGGGAAACTATAACGAGTTGAAGGGGCAGAGCTGACCATCTGCGACCAAGGGTTGACTCTACTATCGAAGTTCCTACAGACGTCTACGTCTCCGGGCTCACGGATCACTTCTAGCCGCCCACGCACGTACGAGAAAGAACCGCTGCAGGCACTACGAATCTTTTTTGTTGAGACCAGCCTCTAATGACAGGAAGCTTTGTTTCGTGCATTTTCGAGAGTAGATCGTTTGTTCGGTCCTGTTGCAGCAAACCCAGAATCAGAAAGTTCTAGTCATTCGAGGCTGGTCGGTATCTAAAAACGGCACCACACTTGGAGGAAGGACTATAAGTTGTAAACAAGGTTCCCGCTGCACTCTATGCCGTTCACTAACAACACTAAGAAGCTTGCACAACGTTCTACTGGACAGATGCCTACATAAGACGAGAAAACAAAAAAAAAAAAACTCTATAGCCAGACCAGTCAAAGATTATATGTCTCTAGACAACACGAGGGTGAGTGGGGAAAGGGCAAATAAACAAAAACAAAAACCAAACAAGAGACTGATTACAACGACAAAATCAGGCGGAAGTTGAGGGAGGGGGATGGGGTAGCTCCCGCAAAAGCAGAGCACCGCCTCCCCTATACTCACAAAAGGACTGCTATAACGCCGTCCTAATATCTGCAAACAAACGAGAATTTTGAACCCACGCATTGGTCAACAGGGGAGGGGACCAAGGCACGTCTGCTTCTCGATCGTCGCATTGTTACTGTTTACACCGCCTTCATTGGGTAGCGAGTCTTTGCTCCTATATTCGGGAAGGGCATTTCACATTTTCTATCCCAAGAATAGTCGGACATTTGATTATAGGTGCTTGTGTTTCGTGTCGTCCGTGAGTCTTAACCAAGAGTTGACAGTAGCAGACTAAAAATGCATCTTTTTTTACCTTATTTTTAAGGAAGCAACTGAAGCATACTGAAGTAAGAACAATTCAGACACAAACGTTTGGAAATTATTCAACAGTTCAAAATGAAGCAGTGCTGATCTAATCAGGAACCTTCCATGCAACTGTTAGTGCCCCTTGAAAAACTGCCTACCGCCGTTGTTATCTGTTAATTGTCTAAGCTGAGTCCTTCGAGGCCTATCGACACATAACATGTTTTGAACTTTGTAAAAAAAAAATGTTTGGTTAAGAAATTTGTCCAGGTTTAGATCGCCTGTACAATAAAAAGTTAACATTGAAATAGTTAACCTTCTTCAACGGCAAATCGTTATTTTTTGTGCCTACAACAGATGATGAGTTCTTAGCCGAACGCACTGATCTTGATTATAAAGTAATCACTTGTTTAAGGTTTTCTCGCTACAGTCCACAATATATTGATTACCCCTTTTTTTAGTCAAAGTGTAAGCATATTTGGAAGGAAGTTTTTTTGGTAGTTTTTATTGTGTGTTGCGTTTCTGAGAGGTTGAAAGAGTGAAATAATCCTCACTTAAACACTTTTGTGTTGCAGAACAAGTGAGTAATTTTTGCGCTGAAGCTCCTTGTTAGTTTTTGGACACACTTTGAGAAACTGCGTTAAGATATCTCTTTGTCATATTAGAGAATTTTTAATTGTGCGTTTTGTTCGGACAGTGTTTCTTTCTGACATAAGGTTTGCCACAAATAGATCAAGTAATAATCTGTTCCATCAAAATCCTTTTAAATCATTGTTCCCACGGCAAAATATTGGCCAAGCATCTAAGAGCACTAAAATAAAGCAACCTTTTTGACCAGACATGTTTGGATTGGGGCAGAAATTTTTTGGAAATCTGGAGTTCCTGAGTTTTTACCCGACCAGTATATTGATATTGCTTAGTGCTACCCTCACCTAATGTATGTGTGGTGGGGTTTATGAACACTTGCTCTCAAAAGGCATTCTCTTGGGGCTTCTTTTATTAAAATTGATGTTTTATAAAATAATTTTCAAAGGTAGTCGGCTGGTTCAGGTATCCACCAGAATAACCCATATCTTAATAAAGCTCACATTTTCAAGAAGTAGTCCAGCATTCCAAACATTCCTTAATGAGTCAATGTTTGCTTGAAAGAATAAGGCTAGCACCATCGAGAAGCAATGCAGGAAATCTAGCAAAAGTCTTACATTAAGATTTCTGCCAATGACAACATAACAATATAGATGTAGGTCACCGCAATTACTCAGCATGTCGACCAATTGTTATATAATGATTATAGCATTCTATGAGGGTAACATATAAGGGTAACATGTAATATACTTGTGGAATTCTGTGATCTTAGCAATGTACAATGAACCTAAAATTTTAGATGACGCCTTTAACCAATACTTTGTGAGAGTTCTGCTTATTCCTTTCACAATACTTTGTGAGGTAGCAAGAAAGGTACCTCAGAAGGTTCACTGGACCTTTTTGAAAGCAACATGAACGCTTGAGAGGACAGTACGTGTCACTTGCCACGTACCATTCCTCAATTACATTTAAAAACAATAAATATAAAAACAAATGACGCCCATCGTGAGGCAATATGTCTTTCTAGTTTGTACTGTCCTATGTTCGTGAGGGCTTTTGTGTTGCAGTTTTGAATGCAGTGTGCATAACATATTGGTTTATAAACACGAAAATGGTGTCCTGCGTTGTTTCTCGAGCGTTAGCGTTGGGAGGGAGGCTGAAGTGCTAGAGCCATCTATGCTGAGAGAGTTCGTCTTGTTTTTGATTGAGCCATTGATCTTGCAAAAGGAGATCCGGTGCATTGTGGCAGTTTGTATGTTATTAATCAAATCCACTTCCCTAGTAAGCAGGTGCCATGAGCCTAAGACAGTACACATATACAAGAATAGCTCGTGCAAGGTAGAGCAAGGTGCCGCATGTTTACGACATGTTCAAAGTCCGGTTATGTTACGTTGGGCGGCATGGAACATACTTATGTCCTTTACACAGTTGGCCAGACCTGACATGTCAGTCTCGATTGAGAATTGATTAAGCTGTGCTATGCATGGATATTTGATGTTAGCTTGGTATGGTATTATCACTTACGCTCGTGGTTAGCTAAAGGCATTTAGGTTGACTTGTCTAGGCAATATTAGCATTTACTGCAGGTACCTACTATATCTTAGGCACGTATTACCTGAAAGAAAGATGCGTCCAATCATGTAATGGGTTGGCTTAGATTTTGTCAGGTTTAACTTAGATTATAAATTAGGTTTATAGCACGCTATATGGTGTTAGTCTATTTCAGAGAAGGTTCAATTAGATTAGAATAAGTAACATACAATAGGTCACATCGAGGTCCGGTCAGCGTAAAATCAGGTGTAGTTATAGGCAGTCTTTTTTTGTTTGGTTAGGTAAGGTTCAGTTTAGCTACTTCATTCGGTTAGACTAGACGGCGTAAAGTTACAATAAGTTATGTCGGGTAAGGTCAGCATGAGGTCAAGTAAGTGGCGAAATCTAGCTTGGTCCTGTTCGGTTAGATTAGGTCCCTCAAGCTTGGATCAATTTAGACGACATAAAGTTATTATAGGTCATGTCTGGTTAGGTCAGTATGGAATCAAGTACGTGGCAATATGTAGCTTGTACTTGTTAGGTCAGGTTGAGCCAGGTCATTCGAGTTTCGATTAGACTGGACGACGTAAAGTTAGGGTATGTCATGTAGGGTCAGGGTGATCGTTAGTTCAGTTTTCCTTTAGGTTCGGAGGTTGCCAAGAAAAATAGGCTGCTACACTTGTTTGAGCTTATGTCTAGAAGCCGCTGACACTACGGCGTAATAGAACCAACCAAGCAACGTTCAAAGCGCAACTCACTAGGTCTTTTCTGATTATTATTGGCTCAGCGACGATAGAACACGTACAGAAACACGACGAACACCATGATCGTGTCCTTTTGATGCTGTCTGATTGGTTCCATTAGTTCGTAGCTTAGGCCGCGCTTGGACTTAGGGTGAAACAAAGTATAGGTCTCGGTGCACGAACTCTCCCTCAGCGTAGAAGACCCTGGCGGCGTGCGGAGAAGGGAGGTGAGGGGCGGGGATTACCTTGCGCACCTTAGAGTTGGCGGCGGAGCGTGGACGGGGGTCGGGGTAGCAGAGGTCGTCTTCCTCCTCGCCCCCGGCGCTCCTAATGCTCGCCCGCTCCCGGAGGTCCTTGGGATCCTCAGCGCCCCGGTCCTGACCGACAAAGAGTTCGTACGACCTGCACGAGAACTCGGACGGGCTCTTGACCAGCTGGCCGTCACCGCTGCCCGTGTCGTGGGGGCGGCCACCGCCGGCTGCCAGTTCGGCGCGGGCCTCTTCTTCCTGCAAGGAGGCCAGAGAGAGAAGGAAGAAGTCAGAGAAGTAGAACCTTGATTTAAGAGAGGGTGCAACTGAAACAATTGTACACCGTTGGCAAGTTAATAGCAGGCGCCTGCTATAGGCTGTTACAGGTTTAGAAGAGGACAAACTGATACCGCGGAGCCCACCACTCTTTCCACTTCAGCAGGGGGAATGCTGGTGAGAGGGAGAGGTAAGAGGAGTAAACCCTCAATTATAACGAGCAGAGAGCTTGGTAGAGGGGCCTGACTTTCTATTCTAAACCTGCGACAGACTATAGACACACGCGTAGATTGCATGGCGAAGCCAGCAAGAAGAAACAATGGCCGCTTTTTTTTTTCTTCTTAAATTTCAGCACTTGCCATAAAATCCTACTATTGTAACGGGAAGTCGTCACTGAGAGGAGTAAACAATGTGGTGATGTTTGGTGCCAGTCAACATACTGTCTGAGCGAAATGCGTATACACACCGATGCCGTGTTCGCGCTAACAATGTCGCGCAGTGTACTTGTCAAGAAAATATATTGACGAAGTTTCTTTTTTCTGTTTACTGGCTTCAAAAGTAATAAAGTCCAGTAATTCTTTAGTTTCTAAAATCTAACGAAGCACGTACATCGTTCGCCGCTAGTCGCTGGAAAAGTAATTATGAACCACAAGTCGCAATACGCTAAATAACAAAGTACCCTTAATCATTAAAAAATAATCTAGATACTTTTACCAGTGACAAGCTCGCAAATAAAAAAATAATTAAATACCATCAGCTCAAAAGTACCGAACAGTATTACTATTTGCTCATTGAGAGAGTAGTTAAATACCTTTATTCGTTACTTGCTCTAAAACTAAGTATTGTACTCATGACAAACTTAAGAAAGTATATTACCCTTGCGCTCAAAATCACAAAGTAGCCCTACCTTTTAGTCAATCAAAAAGAAATTAAGTACCGGGACATGTTACTCACTTAATAAGTAATAAGGTACCTTTACTTGTTGTTACTTGTTATCAGGTCTCAAAAAAATTTCGCTACTCTTTTAATTACTTTTGAAGTCGGAGTAGCCGGTCGCCGAAGCGAAACTTAGAAAAACAAATGTTCCATCTAATTGGCTGAGAAATCAGCCGCACAAACCTGCTCGGGTTTTTGTTTGTTTTCAAAATTGCGAGGGGCAATTAGTAGGAACGGCGGGGTGTTGCTGACATTTCGACGAAGAGGCGCCACCGTGGTATACAAAAAAAAAAAGGGGAAAAAAAAAAGACAAGATGTTTTTGCTTTTTTGTGGCTTTTCTACTATTCTGACAAGATCACCAGCACGCTCTTCAACATCGACGGCTCAAAAACTTTGGGTACAACTTTCATTGTCTATCAGTCGATGTTTAATCGTAACGCAAACACTTTAAGACACGGAGTGAATACAGGATTTGCGTATTACACGTTTCCCAGAAAGAGAAACTGAAAAACGCAAATTTGCTTTGTTCAAAATTAACGATAATACATTAATTGTTCTTGGTTGCAAAAGGATGCTAAGACTTCACTTAGTTATCGAAATAAGTGACGATGTACCAGTAACATCCTAATTTAAAATGCACTGTGTATACCCCTTCGCGTAAAACGGCCCTATGACGGCGCGAATTTTTATGCAGCAAATCTTGTTGCTTATAAAACAAAATTTCCGTTGGGATGAAAAGCGGTACCCAGCTTTAAGTCTGTAGTGTAAAAAGCATCAATGTGTTATTAAATGTACTCATAATACCTTCAAACAATGTCTGTTGAAAGAGCAATATATCTATAGTAGTTTAATGTACTGTAGGTTGACTACAAAGACGCTAAACACATGAATAAGTGAACAGACTCGGAGATAATTTGACTTGATTCCGTAGGCTATTGGGAAGTTAATCCCACGATCGCGCCCCTAAAGGAAAAGTTGAAGAGACAACAACATAAATTATTTGTTTGTGTTTCGGACTCAGCGTTCGGCTGGGGTGCGTGTTCAATCAGTGAAACCCACAAGACCAAACGCAGCGGCAGCACTCCTGTCTAATCCGCGTCACGATCTCGATCAAGAAACAATGACGTCAAGAATCGAGTCCCGGGTTTTGGTTTGGTTAATCACCGGCTTCCATAGAAAATAAGCAGGACAAAGCGCCCCTGTAGCTTGATCTCGCCAATAGAAACTTAAGAGGTGCAGCGATTCACTAATGGCATAAACCGCATGTGATTTGTTTCCAGTTTTTTGTTATTTAGAAAATAACAAAAATTGTGGTGCACAAGCAGTTTCACAAAATGCAAAGGAAAGGGTTGTACTCACGGCCCGCATTTGTTCTTCAATAAGGCGGTCCTCCTCCGCCTCTTCTTCAGCTTTCTTTTGTAATTCGTCGTAGGACATGGCTACAATGGCCAGAATCAAATTCACAAGGTAAAAGGAGCCCAGGAAGATAATCACCACGAAAAAACACATGTGCCAGGGGCCGGCCGATCGTAGCACCTGGAATCGGAAAAAAGTCAGCTTATAGTTTCCTAAATAATTTATTGAATTCTTTTTTTTCTTGCGTCTACCAGCAGCATAACCGTGTAAGGACATGCACGCAGTATTTAAAAAAGTATTTTCTTGATATAAACAGGTGTCAAGTATATTCAGACCAAGTTGAAGATGGTGACCTTCTCATACTGAGAAAGCACCGAAAGAAGGGAAAACAAAATGGGGACAAACATAACAACGAATTTGTAGTATTTTTGTTTCCTCTTGTCTCAAAGATTTTTTACAAACATTTTTTTTGTTTGGTACGACCAACTTGCCTACGCGTAAATTAACATTTTTGTGAGCTTGTCATGAATATTACAAATACGCTGAATTAGGGGCTTCTTGAAGCAGACACACCCAGGAACGTGTGGGTTCGTATGAAAGCGAGGAGTCGCGAGCGCCACCATATATTATATTTACATATTTACAAAAATAAGGAAATAAACGTGAGGGTTGTTCGTTGGTAGGCATAGCCGAAAACTGGCTCACTCTCGTGCTCTCTTCGCGCGCCTCTCGCGCACCCCTGCGTCCTTCTCTTCTTCCTTGTGACTTTAGTTCCTACAAACGTTTTTGTTTACCTAATTTACTCTAAACTAATACCCCTGTCAGACGGGAACGTAAATGTCATTTTCATCGAATGTCATTTACCACTCGGCGAATCAGGTCGCGATCCTGGTTCTGCATGTGGCGCGTGCACGTGCAGCGTGGCGTTTTAAACACGCGGATTGGCCGAGCTGTAATGTCATTTTGCTTAAATGTCATTTAACGTGCCCGTCTGACAGGGTTATTAGTCGATTAATTTTAACACCTTTCTGCACTTTATTTTAGTTTGGTTACATTGATCTTTATATCTTTATTTACAGTTTTATTCTGTTCTGCGTATCACTGGCTTCGTGGTTGTACTTTTGGTGTGCTATTGTTACTCAGATTTGTGTTAGCTTTGCCTTTTACGCCATTCTGACAATGTGCATTCCGATTTCGTTGCAATGGTTCCAAGGTAACGCGCTGTTAACTGGTGCACTTTCGATAGGCAAGTCAAGGTTGAGTGCGCTCGTGAACGGAGATAGTCGATACCTTGTTTATGATTTGTAACGGGTGGATGGGGACAAGCCAGATGGGTGTAACGTTATATTGAAGGCTACAATGATAAATAGAGCGTTCTGAAGAACGCTTTTTGATAGACATGGTTCAAAGAAAAGAAAACACAAGATTACTGTCGTACTGATGATGATAAATAAAATAGTAAGTGAACGTTAGTGATATAGAGGAACACAAACACAGTGATGTGAGGGTTTCTTGCAAGTTCTCACGTTGTGTTAGAGTCTTGCACAGACGGACAAAATGTAGTGATTTGTGAGGTATCTTAATAAACTGGAAGGGGACCAGGATGCAATTTCTGAAATGCATCCTAATATCTTGCACAAATTTCACTGTTTTCTCAATGATCTATACCTTTCGATTGTTTATATATTGAATTCTCCAAAACAGAAAACTTCCTTACTCGAACATTTATTTAAAAGTGGGACAGGTTCACTGGACAATGACGTAACACGTTATTTATAACAATTATCTTCCAATCTCCAATAGTTCCTGGTTTCAAGAGTGTGTCACGACTAGAGGTTTCTCTGCATACATTAATATGAGAGTTAAAACACTCGTTGTTGTTCTCGTTAGCGCATGATGCCAAGGGAACTTGTACACGCAGGCAAAGGCGGACACGGACAAGTTTTTGCTGGCGTCTAGCCACGATTCTAATAGCTGAAAGTAGCACTTGACCGTGTCCCTTTTTTCACGTTCGTCTTTGTTTGCTTGCAACAAGTTTCCTCAGTCTCGGCGTCAGGGCTCTTTTTATATAGCTTCGCTCGTGGATTGTCGGCTTGGGCTACCAACTAGAAGACAAGGCCACTAGTAATGACTTTTCGTTTGTTTGTTTTTTGTTTGGGGAGGGGGAGGGGTGAGGGGGTTGCGCAAGATTTGTCTCCCGGGGGGTATTGGCTGAGGCGACTTACCATTTGATATAAAGATTCCCAATAATCTTGGGTCATAAGCCTGAACGCAGATAGAAAGGCCCAACCAAAGGTGTCGAAATTGGTGTACCCATAGTCCGGGTTTTCTCCTATACCCTGCATACACATGTATCCCTCTTGACATTGCCTGGAAAAAAAATAGCACCGGCAATTTGAACCAGCCGCCAAAAAGAAGCGGCGTTAAATACGGAAGAAAGCGTTTTATCTGACAACGTAAGAAAAGAAGGGTGTGGAGAGTCTCGAGCGTGCTATTATTGTTCCGTAGCCAATGAGGTTGCTGCATTGGCCCATAAGAACGTCGATTAACAAATCACAAAGTCATAAGCGTGAATATAATAAGCACCTAGCCTCGAGCTTCTTACGTTGCTAGTGACGGTATCGTGCAATACCGTCTCACCATAACGCTATATAAAAATAGTTAATTCATGTGGTAGCATGAGGATATTTCATTTGGTAATTTTGAAGATACAGTTAAAGGAAAGGCTAGTCCATAGTAATATGTCCTAAGAAAATATTCGGTGACCGCGGCCCATGACAGATTCGTAATGTTTTCTTTCTAAGTAATTATGTGAGTGAGACCTTGTCAATCACTGTGATCTGCCTCTATAAAGAAAACACGTTTTGCTGGAATTGGTGACGGACAACACCACCCGGATTAAGCAAGGGTCGTGCACTGCCATTTCGACATGGACGCAGTGAAATCGAGCGCAGACACCGAGGGGACACTCAGTGTCCACTAAGTGTCTGCTTAGTGGACACTTGGTGCTGAGTCAGCATTCGGCTGCACCTCATCCATAGCCAGTGCGTCACAGGATGATCGGGCCCATTTGTTGAGTTTGCGTCATCCCGGTGTGATGACGTACGTGGAGGTAGAGAAGGTTGCTCACGGGCTTTGATTATACTAGGTGGTGTTGATACACAGGGGATGATGGTTGGCCTCATACCGTATCTAGTATAGGAATGCTAGTGTGCGTAGCGCGCTTAAAGTAGTACATGAATTGCGTGCTGAAATCTGGCGCGAATTCCAATGCGATGTTGTACTAGATAACGGGGCTGTATTGCAGCTGAGTCTTGAAGCAATTCACTGCTGGCTCATTCATATTTCTAGCGCACATTTATGAAATCTCTGTTAGTGTGCCTGTGTTGAGACGCACCAAGAATTGGCCGACACTACTTACTTTGCACCAGTTGAGTTGCCGCACAGAGGATGCATTCCATCATCATCCATGGCCCAGTTTGCTGCGTGAAGATACGACAGGAAAGCAGCTTGTCAAGGAATGCTTGTATGACAAATAAAAACGATTTGTGGTTTCTCTTGGAAAGCAATGCCATTCAAGTTACTTGTTTTTATGAACAGTGGTACTGTGAATATACATCCTCTTGTATTTATTTCTGCGAACTTACAAAAAGTATATAAATAAAAAAAGCTCTACCTTGAGTGGTAAAAGAGGGCCATAACAGAAAAAAGAGTTGTCATAAAAAGCTAGCAATGCTGTCAGTTTGAAGAATGTCTTGTAAGGTGAAGCGACTCCAACGATTTTTAATGAACTTAAGATATTTCATGCTATGTTTATTGGCTTTGTTTTTTAAAGAGCAACGTTATAATGACTATAACTGCCTGCTCAGCAAGCAGGATATGCACACAGTTTTTGAAAAAAAAGAGACCTTAATGATTTGTTATTTTTCACAAACTTTTAAACAGCAAAGTGCCACGCTCGAGTCTGGTATTCGCTCTAGGCTTTCGTGTGCTTTCTTCTTCTCTAGAGTCAATGGAACTGTTCTATGTTTATATACTCGGGTCATTATACATATGTGTATAGTGCTAGCATGCTTGGGTTGTTTTACTTTTTGGTTTGTGATGTACAGCCGGAAAAATATGTGGCTTTTGGTGGGCATCATTAATAAAAAGAAAAGAAGTTTTTGAGGGCGCTAAGTAGAAGAGAACGTGGCAGTTCTGATGAAATATGAGACAAGTTATAGTCACGAGTGCCTTCTGGCTACGCACTTACTTTCGTTTCCAATAAAACTTGCATATTCCGCATCGGAGAGGTTGGCCGGTGGAATGATCACGCATTTCTGAGTGAGTACACCCATGTAGATTTGCAGCCCCAGTAAGGCAAATACCGACAGTGAGAACATTGTCAAAATGATCACGTCCCTGAGGTTCTTCACAGACTCTATCACGGCTCCTACGATGGTCTTCAGACCTGGTAGGGAGGAACGCAAAGGACAAGATACATTAAGAGATCACATTCTCGGCCTTGCGTACCGGTGGATGTAAACCTGAAAGTGTCCAAGTATGCATGAAAAAACAGTGAGTGCGCAGACGAGCTGGTGGATGTTGATCATGATGTAGAAAACCCGAGACTGGCAAAAGCAGGGAAAACTTGGTCGAAGAAGACAAACAGGGGAAAATAACGTTATGTTATTTTTATAACGAGACGTTATTTTCCCCTGTCTTTCTTCTTAGACCAAGCTTTCCCTGCTTTTACTACAGTCTCGGGTTTTCTACATCATGATCAAGTATGTATGTCTGCCCGAGAAAACGCTCTGGAGAGTGTGACCGCGAATCCCTCACAGAAAGCAATGCGCTGAAACATACTAACTTTCTACTTTATGATGTACTTTATGGGATATACTTAAACTGTGTTTTTAGTTTACCAATACCATAAAAATAGACCTTCAAGGCATGAAGCTTTGTTGTCAAACTTGGCCAACGCGAAGAGTTGACCGCTAAAACTTATACTCTGCCATTCATATTCAAAGTGCACTTAAGGGTTAAAAGCACATTTAGCTGTGCTAAAATGTGCTTCATGCTCCTAGCGTAGAATCGACGTGGATGTGTGCAATAAACATATAGGAACATATACAGTGTTTTCATGCCTTATATGAGTCCTGGTACGTTTATTAAACAAATGATAGAAGAAATACTTTTCTTTTCAATGTGGGTGTGCTTGCTTGTTCAATACAAGCAGAAAAGTTTGACAGTCTAGTTCTAAAGCTTGTTCTAAAATTGTCCGTAGAAACTGCTGACGTTGTCTGAGTAACGAGGCCAAGCAGCGGCCACACGTGTGCCGTACAGGGAGCATGGTGGCCTTTCAAACACATCTTCAAGAAACCACTCCCATTGTTTGATTCAGGCGAGGTATTTGGGGGCAAATCATTTGCGTCCTGCCCTCACCGCAGGGGCTATGTTCCGTTGAGTTTTCTAGGTTTTGTCATAGACGGCTCATAAATGAGTTGCAAGAAGCCCGTGAACATTTTCTCATGTACACAACATACGTAGGTAGCAAAGGGCTTTTATCCGATGAGGTGTCAATGGCACTTTTTTGGTGAGTAAACAACATTTTTAAATGTGTCAATCCACCAGTTACACGTAAATAGTTCAGATAAATAAAACCTTATTCTAACGGGCTCACTTCTAACGATATTACTTGTGTTACAAATACTTTGCAAACCTCTGAAGTTCGCTTACGTGGGTTTCACTTAACGTAAATTATTTTGCTGAAGATAAGCCAGTCCCCATTTTAAAACCGTCCTATCACTACCTTGCTAATTTATATAATATGTTTCATCGTAAGATGGACCGCAGCGTACGGTATGAGCCATTGGAGCCAATCTACAACTGTGACAGTGTCACGTAACTTTCAAAAGGAGAGCAGTGACGCAAGAGGCGGGTTGCCACGTAATGCGTTTGCAGCGTTGGAGTGGATGGGTGGGTCCATAGCGTCCGCTGTGCTTCATCTTAAGTTGAACCGGTGCATAAAGAACTAGAGGTTTCCTGGATGACAATGATATCATATGTAACTCTCAGGTAGCGGATTTGCATAATGATTTTCATTCTACTAAGAGATAGAACGGCTATTCTCAAAGAGAAACTTATAAGGGTGTGGGAATGCTACAATGACTATGAATGGAGGCAGCGCTTAGTCGGCTTATTGCACTATGTGTGTGAAAATGAGGATGTCAAGGCAATTGGTGGCATACGACAGAAAAGCAAAGACACTTACCTGGAACTATAGCTACCGTTTTCAAGGCTCTAAGTACGCGGAAGGTACGCAAGGCGCTCAGGTTCCCCAAATTAACAAACATTGTAACATATCTGGAAGAAAAATATCAAATAAACATCGCACCCCTGCTGAAAAAAAGTACTAAAATGTGATTTCTTCTGATACACAAACTATTGTCTATGTATAAGTAATTCAATTAAATGTTAACGTTGAAGATCATTGGAACTCCTCCGTCCGAATATATAAAACAAAACATTGAGACGAAAGCAATGTGCACTTCGATGCCAAATTAATTGTGCATAAATGAGACACCGTATGAATGAGCAGCTATGTTCATCTTGAATAGCATGCAAAGGAGCCCCAATGAGCAGAACAAAACAGCCGCCGTGACGAATTAACTACAAAACTAAGTGTGTGCGAATAGTGGTTAGAATTGAATAGTGCACTGTCATCCCTAGCTTTAACATTGATTCATAAGAAAGCTGGCTGCAGTGACTTTTCCTTGCAATGTGGAGGCTGTTAATGACTTGGTATTATTCGATTCGAACCAGTATTCGCACATCTCTACACCAGACATCGCTTCTAAACATATTATAGATGTTTTCTGCTTGATGTTTACCGGGCAATATGCTGATATGCACGATTCGTAGAAGCCGTAATTTCACTATTGTTTTAGCTGGCTAGGTTGCTATGTAGTCAGTTGGATATATACGAGTATAAGAAGTACGATGAGCTATTCAAGATTCAACTGAAGGACGTTTTTAAGACAAGGAAGAAACAATTCTTCTCATTTAGCACTACTCATCTACATGTACAGCGACGAGCAATATGGTTATCTAGCTTTGCGAACATGTTTTCTGAAACGCATTTTATCATATTCATCAGTAACGTTACATAATACTCTACTTATATACTATACCAAGTCCCCAGAAAGTCCACCATATTCAGATAATATTGGCTCAAAGTGCTGTAATAAGAATGTTTTTTGAAGGTCTGGGATTTTTTTTAAATATGTTTCCAAAGTTAGCTGTACCCGTCTCATTTCCTACCCGTTTCCCGAGGTTTCAGTGTTTCTTTCCAGAGGTTCCAATGATTACAAGTTCAGTTGTGCACATAGGCGGTATCATGCGCAATGGTACTGATAAGGTTCTATCCCCAAAAATATGGCTTCACCTAAATAATACATATTTTTTTTTCTTCGAACCGCTGCTCCTTTGCAGTCATCCAAAGAGCATCCATAAGCCTGCTCTGAGTTGTGCAAATTAGCGTTATTCTGCACAATGAAGTTCACTTAGCCAGGCCACGTTTCTCGGCGTGAGAGCGGCTTTCCGATTTCCACCGGGGATGCCATCCCTTTGGTACACTACTACAACAGGATCCATTAGCCCAGTGCAAAATTACATTAAAAATCTATTCGCGAGCATTATTTTTTATACACTAGCTAATTATCTCCTCATCATAACTAGTGAATCGACGCGGCGCCGCTAACCTGCGACACCAGCAAGCTGTGACGCCTAGACGGACGCGTCGGCCGCCTTCAGAGTGTTTGGTTCAGAGTCAGCGTGTTTGCTGCTTGGGGCGGTTCGGGGATTCACTAACGATGACGATAATGCGCATGCGTCACCTTCTACACTCTAAAAAAGAAAAAAAAATCCGCTCTTAAAAGGTTTTTTGACGCCCCAAGAACACTTTCAGCTCGTGAAGAACGGTTTCGCCGCAATCACTATCGCCCCCTGGCGCACTAGAAAGGCAACTAGGCGATGAAGAACTCTTTCGCACCAAAAGAAGGAGCTTAAAAGTGCTTTTATACGTTTTTTTTTCTTCAAAAAGAACCCTTTCAGGGGTGCTTAAAGAAACATTTTAGGGTGCAAAATATGAACAAGGCAAAGAACAACTAAGAGTTATTTTACTACCAGATTTGTTTAGAGTGCAGGTTGTATTGCCTCAGTAGGGGGGCTTATGTAGTATTTGTGACAACCTAGTGGAAACCAGCGTTGTGTTAATATAACGAATAAAACTTTTCGTTTGCGTTGGATGCGTATTAAATGTAGACTACTCGGATAAGTGTTTTGTTTTTTAACTGTTTTTTAGCAAATCTTTTGATTTCCATACTTGGCTATATATACAGTGGCTGTCTTTAATTCTAATACATTTATTTTAAACATGCGATCATGTATACAAGCGTACCGTCTTCACCACATGTTTACCGGGCCCAGCCGATACCACTGAAAATACGAGTGCTAGGAAATGACGTTGTCTTCACTGAATCCGCGACTAGCACCATGGGGCAGACGTGCCGCTTGGGGCGCTGGTGGCGATGCTGACGCTGTCTAGGCGGCACTGCGTAAATCTACTGGCGAGGATGTTTAGCAGTAGACGGGATGGTGGCCGCCATAATTAGTAGACTAAAACCTAATATTTTTGTTCAGTTTTAATAATAAATATATGCGTCTTGCTTCTCTTGCACTATCGAACGAAATTAGTAATAGGGAGTGAATCAATTTAAACTTGTTGCAAAAAGACAATAATCTTTCATATATTCATTGATCAGTTTTCGAGTTTTTGTTGCATAATACGCAAATCAATGATAAAAAAACACCCGTCGCGAATTGTGTCCACAACAACGCGTAGAAAAGTGAGAGTCGTTTCAGGGTCCTCATTGCTATCTTGGTTGCGTGACGTCGGCGCATCTACCAAAGAGAACACCCTTCTGAAATAATGACGAGTTGCACGACGTTCCGTGCCACCCTTCTACGCGTCATTGTTGACAGAACCTCCAGCGTTCTTTCCGCACACTTTGTGAGAAAAAGGCGAAAAAAAAAAAAACGCGGAACGTGATGAAGAGGAATCGCGAATTCCGTTTTTCTGTCCATCATGTTTATATTTGCTTTACCTTCGATTACGATTTTCTTCAAAACTAAAATTGCAACATGACAAAGTAAGTGAATAGGTAATAAACAGATCATGATTGATTCGGCTAGTTACCATGACGATTATGTTGCAATATATTATCCTCGGAACCCAATAAACATATTGTGAAAACAATTCCCACATATGAGCTACAACCTTTCATCACAATCAAAAACAGAGGCCTATAAATAGTTTATGCAATTATTGCAGTGAAGACTTCATATTGCAAATCCCTTCGTACTTTTTGAATTTATATAATAAAAATATTGATAACTGTGATACATGTAAGCAATAGCAACACTCAATGAAGAAAGAATGCATACTCACGCTAGAGATATAACAACAAAATCCAACCAATTCCACGGATCTCGAAGGTATGTGAATGGTTCGAGAATAAATCCTCGAGCCATCATTTTTGTAAAGGATTCGAACGTGTAGATCGTGGTGAATATTGTTCTGAAAAGTAAAAAGAAGGCAATGAAAGCGCATTCATGGTATAGAAAAGGACATTACTGGTAGCAGTAATATCCTTTTTTGCATTGCGCACAATTTCCCCAAACTAGAAACTGTGTTGCTTGGGCATGGAAATTAGATTGAAATTCTATTAAAAAATGCTAACCCCAGCCACTTACAGTAGATTATTCTCGAATTTACAAAGGCCGCTACTATCCATGAATCAATCATTAATCATCGCAGTGACTACAGAATGAGGGAATTAAGGCAACACTGACCACGAAATCAGATTGGATGTTATCTTTACTGAAACAATGTACGGCAGCGCAAACCCGCAGAAATTTTTTTTTATATATGCTAATCGTGCGGATAATATCGAGAGACGCAGGGTGTGTTGCGTGTTTTGAGCGAAGCTGGGTGTATATACAGGGTGTTGTTATTTAAGCTTTCCAGGTTCGATCTTAATAAAAAAAGAGTTGTGAAAACTACACTTATACGGTTTGTGCAGGTGAGTTATACGGCCAGGGGGACGTAAAATAAGGGGCTAATCATAATGATCAGTTGGCTAATTAAGTAAAGTTTGTTAATTAACTTTTTAAATAATGAAAATAGACATATGGTTCCAGTTAGAAACTTGCTGAGTGTCATCGAAAACCACTAAATCAGTAATTGTTATGAAGATTTTGAGCTCGCGACGAGCGTAGTAATGCACTAAAGTTACCACTCATGGAGCATGTACCAGGCTAATGGTTGCGGTAAGGCGCCCGCGCGATTTTTCCGTCTCTTATGAGAGCACCAGCCTTGTACGTGCTCCATGAGTGGTAACTTCAGCGCACTACTGCGCTTCTCACGCGCTGAAAGTATTTCTAAAACTTACTAATTTCGGGGTTTTGGACGACGCTCAGCAAGTTTCTAATCGGAACCATATGATTATTTTAATTATTTGAAAAGTTAATTAACAAATTTTACTCAATTAGCCGACTGATCGTTACGATTAGCCACGTATACTATGTCCCTCTTGCCGTTTAACTCACCGACCAAAACCGCATAAGTGTAGCTTTTAAAGCTGTTTTTAAACAAATGTGTGAAGCTTAAAAACACCCTGTTTATAGATCATTACTGTTCTCGGGAGTCATGCAAAATTCTGAATCTACACTCTTCCAGCCAAGCAATAGTTTTACTCGAAATTGCCAAATAGCACTGTCGGCTATTATAGAGCTCTTGCGGAAAAAGGAAAAGATTGGAAAAAGGGAAATTGGCTTTTATGTTCTTTTTGTTTTACCGAGAAATACATGATATGGAACTCGATGTCTTATGGTCTCACGCGTACTACCCTACCAAAAAAACCCAGTATGCATTTTGACTATCTGGTTTATAAAACTAAAAATCTCACTGAAATTATTTCTGGAAACCTAGAATCCAGACAGCAGACAAAAAATAATTTGTGAAAATCTAAAATTCAGGTAGAATTCAGGTAAACTTCGAGTTACATAAATCAGATAGCGAAAAGTTATACTGCGTTTTCAAGTAGGGTAGGCTTAGATTACAGAACAACCCCTTTTTTGTTATATTTTTACTTAGGTAAACTCATCCTTCTATATCTTTACTAAAAATTTATTCTTTGCTATCACAACCTTTGTGACAAATTACACAGCAACCCGTTGAGAAACTTGTTTATGCCGTCCCTTAAAAGTGCAAGCCTTCACCGGGGCCAGGCTGTAGGAGAAATCGTGGGAATATTTGAAAGATGTTCACGAGGGTGCACTCACTCTGTTTGTTCAATTTTTTCGTTGCTGGGCATAGTCATGAGGACACAGTTGACGAGAATGGTTACTATGACGAAGAAGCTGAACAGCGGGTGCACTAGAATGCAGATGGCCAGCCGCCTGACCGGATTGAACGGACTCAACAGGAACAGCGCTTTGGTCGAGCTGAACCGGAAGATGTCCTTGCTTTTGCTCACCACCACAAAAGTCTGCGAGAGAAGGTAAAAAAAAAAAAAGAAGGGCAATGTTAGACACCCGGAATCCTAAATGTCTGGTAAAAAGTATCTTTATGAAGGAGAAATTACGTTTCTAGTCCTTTATTTTGTCCTACAAAGTAGTAAATACAGAGTTTGAGGGGCAAACAATAATTTGGATGGCAACTTAATCGATTAACCTACTAATTGATCATTATTGCATTAATCGCGATTTTTTTTAACCTAATCGGTTAAAATTTCAGAAACAAAAAATTAAAAAAAAGCATCGCTTTCATTACGCAGACGTGGACGAGTACAGCTGCATGAATGCACAGTTTAGGTGAAATTTTGTCCTAAAGTAAACTGTAGGGGCGATATTTGTAACTCCGAACAAGGTGGAGAACTTTATACGTGTCCCAGCCACTGGAACGCTGTGCGAGCGTCCGTTTATAGCGGTAGAAACTGTTGCGAGAAATCAAGGAAGATCGCTATTGCTGTAGAACATCATGAACCCTTTTGCTTGTGAGGATGAAGTAATAACTTGTGAGTGTGGGTGTCTGACAGCTCTCCATTACACTTTAAGGTTTATTTAAAGTCAGCAATTCTACGTTGCGCCATTTATCGCATATTCAGCAAAGGAAAAAATATATAATTCTGACTTTTTTGGAAGCGTTTATACACGGGAATATACCAAACCGATTAATAGATTAATTGAACCATTAAAGGGCGGCGATTAATGGGGTTAAAATGATTTATCAACGCAAAGCCATAAAAAGTAGTTTTCTCATCGCGTAATTGATCAAAGCATCGTCGAATGCTCAGTTTCTTCACAAATGCAGCGCTAGAGGTTGGAATCAGGTGACAAAGCTTCGGAACTTAACACTATCTAAGTCAAAAGTTGAAGGCAATTTAAACAAATTTAGGGACAAAATGGCGGCCATCTTAGCCTGGAAACATATAGGGATGAATGAAATGATAACGAGCCCATTTCTAGAATTGAAAACTTTTGAAAACTGCTTAAAACCTTAGAATAGAATAATGTTAAGTTTTGAAATTTTGTGCAGTTAGTTCTAACCGCTGCCGCTCTGTTTGGGCAAAGAATGATCATTCAGTGACGCGTTGTTCGTTCAGTTTTTGGTAAAAAAATACTGTTTTCTTTTCTCTCGAACACAACGTACATGAAGGCTGATACACACTTAACAATTTCCATGTTTGGCCGCTGTTTTTTTTACATACAATGTAGAGGTTTTCAATAACATCTACAGCAAGAGTATAAATTGTCCTACTTTTTTACTGTTTCTCTTTTTTCTTGCAACCCTCCACATTTGGGAGGGGAGGATACTAAATGCATATTCTGCCTTGCAGAAGGAAAAGGTTCAATGCCAGCCATTAATAAACAAATGTTTTATTTAGACAAACGTGTAGGAGGATGAGGCAAAATTCGACTAGAGCTTGCTTGACTATGACCCATTCTCTTGTGCAGTTCAGCAGCAGGGTGCACTTAAATATAATATAAGCGTCACAGCGTAGAATAATTACAAACACTAAATTTTACTTAATAATGATCGATATAAAGCACACCATAGCACAATAACAGTTTTTAACACGTCAGAATAAATTTAATGCGAATTATGTTAAAGCTAAGAGATGCATTTTCTGGGATAGCTATAAAATACTGCCTCGTGTCGGAGATTTTGGTCCTTGACAATTTTAACTTAACGTCAATATTGTAAATGCATTGAGCTTCTTTCAGTGCTCGCCTAGCTTGGTTAATTTTTAATAGCGTATTTCACGTTGAGAGTCTTCATACCTCGTTTCAGCTAAAGTTCAGGTGCAGCCGTCGCTACGAAGAAATAGGACCAATCAAGAGGCGTCAAAAGCTCAAGTAACTAGGCCTTTCTCCTAATGATTGGTTCAGCGATGATAGAACACGCACAGAAACTTGACAAACACCTTAATGGTCCTCTTTTGAAGCTGTCTTATTGGTCCCTTCAGCTCGTAGAGTCGGCTGTGTCTGGACTTAAGGTGACACGAAGTATAGTCAGCTTGCCAAAGGATCCTCAAATTTATTAATATTTTGGTGAATATGACCTTGCCAAAAACTGTAATAAAAATACAAAAATTATGATTTCTAATGATTCGCCAGTGTGGTATCATTTCAGGGCGGCTTGGAATGGTTTACCTAACTGGCAGCCCAATACCACGCTGCCAGTGCCATTTGCTGTGTAACCGCTCATTCACACTGGAAGCGGATCCGCGTTCGCAAAGCGGTTGCGAACGCGGTTGTATAAAGACCCAGTACAATTGCACGCGCACTAGATGACATCAAGTGCGCGTGCAATTGCACTGCATGCAATTTTTACTAACATCCAGGTGGCACTCTCAAGGCCACCTGGATGTTAGTAATAAAAGTAGTGTCTCTGGTACGCCCGAAGAAGCATCATCCGTATCTTTGGAAGGTACAGAGAACGCACGCAATGTCTGGGGGCTAGGAAAGACGTCCATTGGCATCCAGTAGAATTTGTTGTATTTTCAAAGACTTGTGTATAAGACGACCAGGGGAACCTGTTGAATAATCAAAGGTTATCTCTTGGGTATCTAAAGAATGCCTAAGATATCTGCGGGTGTACGTCGAGTAGAATCTTTGTCTGGGACGGATGTTGGTGAAGTGTCAATGGATATCCGACAGGGCCCTAGAGCAACAAGCTTGAAGAGAAACTGTCAAAGCGGCAGCCGACGTTCTGCTTAGATACTTTGTCTCTTCAAGACTGCCTCTTGGCGAAACGTCGGTTGCAACCCTCAGACTGCCAGGATGGTCCTCTCCAACTTGTTCCTACCGTCCACGACGGGCTTCGTGATTTTTTTGGACAATCCAGGCAGCACGAATTCTCTATGAACGACCACGGGACAGTATAAGAAGCGACAAAGCGAAGAGACTGCGACAACAAAGAAAACAGACAAAAAGGCCAACAAAGGCACTTTGTTTTGGTCGTTTTGCGCTGCTGATTCATATAATAAATTATCAACTCGTCCAACTAAGCCCCCGTTTCATGGAGCACATGGACAATTATGGAACTTCAGGACATCTTGATGACGTCCTGGGAAACATTTGCGCTGCTAGGGAATAGCGCCAACAATTGGTCAATTTTAGACTATTTCAATTGTCGTCTTTTGTGGGCCACCATATTTGGCTTCTGAGCTTTGAAACGCGTTTTGAACATGCAATTTAACTCCTTTGTGCATAACACTGGCCGGTGGAATTTTGCCCACGGCCCAGAGACTCAGCTCTTTTGTCTCGGGAGACAACCTGTGGGAGAGGCACTGACCCTGGTGTTTTCGTAGTACTTGTCGATATCCTCGATGGGAGTGGCGATGAGCTCGGGCGGGAAGTCGTTTATGATTCGCCTGGGCAGCGGGCCGCCGGCTTCCAGGTCCGGGTCCGGGTCCTTGGGTCCCCTGGAGTGATGCACGTAGTCGTCGCCGCCCGCCGGGATGCCTTCCTCGATGCGCTGGGCAGCGAGGGCTTTGCGTGCCGCCTCCTCGGCAATGCGGGCTTCTTGGGCTGCCAGGGACTCTCGCGTGAATGGCCGGAACAGCGAGGTGGGCACGTCCTCGTCGTCGTGACTGGGCAGGGCCGGCAGCGGGGCCGGCCCGGCCAGCTCGTCGTCATCTGGCTCGTCCTGCTGCGAAGAGCAGGACGCGGGCGGGGGCTCCCCGAGCATCATCGCTGCCTCGGCGGACGCACGGGCGGCTCGCTCGGACTCCTCGGGGACGAGGGTCCGCGGCCGCTGCAGGGCCGCCTCGGCGGCCCCCCGGCTCGGCTGCCCCGGGGCCCACGCCCCGGGCGGAGCGAGCCCGCCTCGCGACTCCTGCTAGGCCTGCAGGTATCAAAAGAAGAAAACTCTTAGTCGCCGGACACGAAGAAGGGGAAAACTGTTACAAGTTCCAGTTACTGAAGCCCACAAAAAGAAGCCGTAACTCTGTTAGCACGAAGGAGGAATCGCAAGTTTTTTTCGTGTTTTTTTTAATTGAAAAGTTACCGCAAGTACAACTGGTGTGGCGGAAGGTCTAAGTGGGCAGCCACTTAAACCTGAAAGTTTGGTACCCACAAATAATCTGCAGGAGTAAAATGTGGAATCGTGCCGATGTCGCATTTCGTCAAACGTTTGGCGTATTGTTCGTAAAAAGGAGAAAAAAGAAGAGCTCGATGAGAGGCATTACCCACAGCGAAGGGACGAGCCATTGAGAGCTCTAGACATTGAACCCCACAAGGAGTTTCATGCAGGTCGTAGTTCCACCACGCCTCGATTACGTACGTCGGTTTTGCAGCAGCGCCGTTCACAAGTGCCGCCGTGCACAGTGCCCAGGTACCGCTACCAAGTACCGCCAAACGAAGGGCCGACAAGACGCGGGGTTTATAAACAAATACCTTTCGCAAGTTCCAGTAAGTGCAGTAGAAGAGATATAAGTGTGTTGCATAGCAATAATGGTAACAAGTACCACTAGGTATATTATCGGGGATACACGTGGGCTGTATTAGAATACCTTTCACAGGCAGCGCCAGTTAGACAAATGCCTTTCGCAAGGACCAGTATTCCGAATTGAGAATTTACATGCATACCAATATGATTCCCTGGCACCGTCAAATACAGTATGCGTGATATTTGTGTAGAGTTTTAGGGAACATCCGATATGGTACAATGGCACCTTTGGTACACTGCGTATGCGCTACCACAGAAGACTCGCACCTGCGCAATGCGCACCGGAGGGCCCATCGTGTCGTATGGGATGTGCAAACACGGCTCCCTAAAACTCCCAAGAAAAAGGGTGTAAAAGGGTGTATCCTTACATCCTTTGTCCCG